ACCATCATTGATTTAGAACATTTTCATCACCCTGAAAAGTAACCCTGTATCCAGTAGCAGTTACTCCCCATTTGCCCTGTTGCATCTCATGCCCCAGCTTCTGGCAGCACTGATAAATTTTCTTTAGTGGTTTAGTTGCTAAGTTATATCTAACTCTTGTGACCCCAGGGACTGTAGCTCAAAAGGCTCCTCTGTCCATGGAATGTTTTCAGGCACGAATACTGGAGTAGGTTGCCATTTCCTTCTCCAAGGAATGTTGAGTTTTAAGCCAGCTTTTTCACTCTCCTCTTTCATCTTCATCCGGAGGCTCTTTAGTTCCTCTTCACTTTCTGCCATTAGAGTAATATCATCTCCATATCTGAGGTTGTTGATATTTGTCCCAGGAATCTTGATTCCAGCTTGTGAGTCATCCAGCCTGGCATTTCGCATGATGTTCTTTGCATATAAGTTAAATAAGCAGGGTGACAATATACAGCCTTGACATACTCCTTTCCCAAATTTGGAACCAGTCCATTATTCCATATCCAGTTCTAACTGTTGCTTCTTAACCTGCATACAGGTTTCTCAGGAGGCAGGTAAGGTGGTCAGGTATTTCCCATCTCTTGAAGAATTTTCCACAGTTTGTTGTGATCCACACAGTAAAGGCTTTAGCTTAGTCAATGAAGCAGAAGTAGATGTTTTTCTGGATTTCCCTTGCTTTTTATGTGATCCAGTAGATGTTGACAATCTCTGGTTCCTCTGCATTTTCTAAATCCAGCTTGAACACCAGGAAGTTCTCAGTTCATATATTGTTGAAGCCTAACTTGGAGAATTTTGAGCATTACCTTGCTAACTTGTGAAATGAGTGCAGTTGTGCAATAGTTTGAAGATTCTTTGGCATTGCCTTTCTTTGGGATTGGAATAAAAACTGACCTTTTCTGTGGCCACTGCCAAGTTTTCCACATATGTTGGCATATTGAGTGCAGCACTTTCACAGAATCATCTTTTAGGATTTGAAATAGCTCAGCTGGAATTCTATCACCTCTACTAGCTTTGTTCATAGTGATGCTTCCTAAAGCCCACTTGACTTTGCACACCAGGATCTCTGGCTGTGGGTGAGTGATCACACCATCGTGGCTATCTGGTTCATTAAGACATTTTTTGTACAGTTCTTCTGTGTATTCTTGCCACCTCTTCTTATTCTCTTCTGCTTCTATGAGATCCTTGCAGTTTCTGTCCTTTATTGTGCCCTTCTTTGCATGAGATGTTCCCTTGGAATCTCTAATTTTCTTTTTTTTTTTTTGGAATCTCTAATTTTCTTGAAGATATTTCTAGTCTTTCCTGTTGTACTGTTTTCCTCTATTTCTTTGCTTTGTTCACTTAAGAAGGCTTTCTTATCTCTCCTTGCTGTTCTTTGGAACTCTACATTCAGATGAATATATCTTTCTTTTTCTCCTTTGTCCTTCACCTCTCTTCTCTTCTGAGCTATTTGTAAGGCCTCCTCAGACAACCACTTTACCTTCTTGCATTTCTTTTTCTTTGGGATGGTTTTGGTCACCGCCTCCTGTACAGTGTTATGAACCTCCATCCATAGTTCTTCAGGCATTCTGTCTACCAAATCGAATCCCCTGAGTCTATTTGTCACCTCCACTGTAAATCATAAGGGATTTAATTTAGGTCATACCTGAATGGCATAGTGGTTTCCCTGCTTTCTTTAAGTCTGAATTTTGCAATAAGGAGCTGATAGTCTGAGCCACAGTCAGCTCCATGTCTTGTTTTTGCTGACTGTATAGAGCTTCTTCATCTTTGGCTATAAAGAATATAATCTGATTTCAATATTGACTATCTGTTCATGTCCATGTGTAGAGTTATCTCTTGTGTTGTTGGAAAAGGGTGTTTGCTATGACCAGTGTATTCTCTTGACATAACTCTGTTAATCTTTGCCCTGCTTCTTTTTGTTCTCTAAGGCCAAACTTGCCTATTACTCCAGTATCTCTTGACTTCCTACTTTTGCATTCCAGTCCCCAATGATGAAAAGGGCATCTTTTTTTGGTGTTAGTTCTAGAAGGTCTTGTAGGTCTTCATCAGTTCAGTTCAGTCCAGTCGCTCAGTCGTGTCCGACTCTTTGTGACCCCATGAATCACAGCACGCCAGGCCTCCCTGTCATCACCAGCTCTCGAAGTTTACTCAAACTCATGCCCATTGAGTTGGTGATGCCACCCAGCCATCTCATCCTATGTCGTCCCCTTCTCCTCCTGCCCCCAATCCCTCCCAGCATCAGGGTCTTTTCCAATGAGTCAACTCTTCACATACGGTGGCCAAAGTACTGGAGTTTCAGCTTCAGCATCAGTCCTTCCAATGAACACCCAGGACTGATCTCCTTTAGGATAGACTGGTTGGATCTGCTTGCAGTCCAAGGGACTCTCAAGAGTCTTCTCCAACACCACAGTTTAAAAGCATCAATTCTTCGGCGCTCAGCTTTCTTCACTAGAACTGTTCAATTTCAGCTTCTTTGGCATTAGTGGTTGGGACATAGACTTGGATTACTGTGATGTTGAGTGGTTTTGCCTTGGAAACAAACCAAAATTATTCTGTCATTTTTGAGATTGCACTCAAGTACTACATTTGACTCTGGCTGACAATGAGTGCTACTCCATTTCTTCTAAGGGATTCTTGCTGATGGTCATCGAATTAAATTCTCCCATTGTCCATTTTAGTTCACTGATTCCTAAAATGTTGATGTTCACTCTTGCCATCTCCTTTGACCACGTCCCATTTACCTTGATTCAGGGACCTAACATTCCGGGTTCCTGTGCAGTATTGTTCTCTACAGCATCAGACTTTACTTTCATCACCAGACACATCCACAACTGGGTGTCCTTTCCATTTTGGCTCAGCGTCTCCGTTCTTTCTGGAGTTTTGTCTTCGCTTCCCCAGTAGCATATTGGACACTACTGACTTGGGAAGCTCATCTTTCAGTTTCGTATCTGTTTGCCATTTCATAGTGTTCATGGGGTTCTCAAGGCAAAAATACTGGAGTGGTTTGCCATTCCCTTCTACGGACCACATTTTGTCAGAACTCTCCACCATGACCCAACATTATGCCTGCTTTCATGCTAAAATGTCAAAGTGAAGTAGTGACAGAGACTGTATAACCTGTCAAACCTAACATATTTACTCCCTGACCCTTTATGGAAAAAGTTTGCTGACCCCTGCTTTTTAAATTTTTGTTCAAGTAATACATGTATGTATTTGAAAAGGAAATAGCACTAAAATTTTTATCTTTAAAAAGACGAGCCTTGATGCACTGTTGTTCACACTGGCACCACTCCTCAGGGACATTTCATTCCTGTCTTTTCTGGCATTTACAGTTACATTCTAATAATATTCTCACTGCACTGTTTTTTGATTTAACAATTTTAGACACTAATTATTGACTAGTATAGGCCACTCTTTACTTTTTAGTGCAAGATTATAAATAAATTTACCATTTCTTAGCTGAAAGGTAATGTTTTATGATCATTTAAATAGTTCTTTGCATTTTCATAATTACATAAAGAAATTAACAAGCACTCAGCAAAAATTAATGTTTATTTAATACTTCATGTGTGCCAGGCACTCTTCTAATGCAGGTTTTAAAAACTGAAGTGTAGTGGATTTACAGTATTGTGTTAATTACTGCTGTGCTGCAGAGTGATTCACTGACACATATTACATACATTTAAAAAATGTTCTTTTCCATTATGGTTTATCATAGGATATTGAATATAGTTCCCTGTGCTGTGCAGTAGGACCTTGTTGTTATCCAGTCTGTTTGAGAATCTTACACCTGCTAACCCCAGCCTCCTACTCCCCCCCTTCCCCCTCAGCAACTACCAGTCAGGTCTCTGTGTTCCTGATTCTGTTTCAGAGATAGGTTCATTTGTGTCATATGTTAGGTTCCACATGTGAGTGATACCATATGGTATTTATCTTTCTCTTTCTGACTGACTTCACTTAGTATGATCATCTCTAGTTGCATTGATGCAGTTTTATGCAGTTTCACACTTAAATCTTTACAGAACCCCTAGGAAGTGTAGGTACTATTGTTATCTCCATCTTCCAGATGTTGAAATGTCTTTGGAGAGCTTATGTGATACTTCTCTTGGTCAAGACCTCATGGGTGATGGAGCCAGAAGTCAGCATTAGGAATGTGAGCTCTTAAATACTGTGCTGTAATGCCATGTGTGGAATCATGTACTACTTGATGGTCACAGATTTGTGGTTTTATAGGTAATCTAAGGGTTTATATGCAGAGATTCATGTGCAGGTCCGCTGAGGCCCCACATGGAATCTGCTGGGTGTGCAGCAGGCGCAGGGCCTCAGGTAGCAGCTGACTCGCCTGCACACTGGCGTGGTCTCAGTCTAACACACTGGCTCTCAGACTGGAGCTGATGTCAGAATCGCTGGGTGGGCTTGGACCTCGCCTCTGGCTTCTGATTCAGTTGGTCTGGGGTGGGGCCTGAGCAGGGTCCCAGGAGATAAAGAAGCTGCGGGGACCATGGGTGGCTCAGTGCTGTGTCCTTTCTGAACACGGAGTCTTCTGTGCCACGCGACTCTCCCATGGCATCATGTCTCCATGACAGTTCAGCTGCTGTGGCTTATGTTTCCTTTTTGACCCCACAGAGGTCAAGGTCATGATGCTCATACAGTAGGTGATCATAAGCTGGTTATTGGCTCTTCCCTAGCGTGCTTTTGTAGTTTTGACTTTTTCTATTACAAACATTGTAATTATAACATACAACACATTCTTCCTGCAAAAATCACCTTTAGTAGCAGCACCACGGTGGAAGAACTCAGCAGAAAGGTAGACTAGGCCCTGAGGGATTCAGAGGCCTATTTGGTGACAGCCAGGCACTGAAGAGCTGTGCCCCTGACCTGTGTTTAAGGTCTGTGGAGAAAGTGACTTCATCTGATTGTAGCGGAGACTTGCCTTTCACCATTAGCATCCTTTGAAATCTCTGTTTTGCTCTTCTATTTAGAGTCCACCTGCATCAGCATGTCCGGGACCGAGGAAGCAGTCCTTGGAGGCCGTGGCAGCCAGCCTGCTGGGGGCAGCCCCGTGCTCTGCTTTGGTCAGGTGGGTGTGTCCCCCTCTTCCCTGGAAGGGATGAGAGTAAGTGGAAACCAAGACGGTCTGGGGAAGCAGTGTGTAAGCGCCATCATGTATGTAAGCTGCTGTTTTCATCTAGCGGCATTATTTGGGCATTTCTGTTGAGCTCTGAGCATGTATGGGAGCTTTAGCAGTGCTGGGGGCTACATTTATATATAAACTGTTTTTGGATAGGTTGCATTTTCATATGCTTTTAACATTCCAAGTGGAACAGACTATGTGAAAAGTCTCAGTGTTTCCTGTCACTCCTGTCCCCATGACACTTGGATCTCTCTTTTTGGAGGCATCCAAAGTTTCTGGGGTTTATGGAGATACCCTGTGCTTATAAGGGAGATTCTTGCTTTGTCCACCCACATTCTATCTGTCTTACCAGAGATCTGTGTGTATTTGTTCCACTTTAATAGGGCCAGGGGAAAACTACCAAGGGAACGAAAATCTAATCAAATAGTGGTGCAGTTCTCCATGTGCAGGATGGGAAATGGTTGAATTGGAGGACACGTGGAAGCAAGGCTTCCTGTCCTGTTTTCTCCTCTTCCATGTCTACATAAATGTCATGAGAGACTCTTGAGACAAGAAGTCTTAGTTTCCTAGTTTTGGCTGGAGAGAGTTGTGGTAACACACTAGTCACATCTAAGGCAGTGTTTCTCATAGTGTGGTCCAGTGACCCCTGGGGTCCACAGGACCTTCCCGAGCCTGTGAAATCAAAGTTATTTTCATAATACTACCAAAGTACTCTGCCTTTTTCACTCTCATTCTTTCATGAGTGAGGGTGTTTTCCAGAGACTGCATAGCATGTGCTGATGTCATTGCTCTGGTAGTTACTGGAATGTGTGGAATGTGAAGTTTTAATTCCTTGTATCGATAGACAACCCACATGAACAACAGCTCATAGGATCCTCAGTACATCTGAGCGTAGGGATGGCAGAAATGTCGGTTCAGTTTCCCCTTTCTGATTCCAGTACCAGTACACAGTGGAAGAACACCAGGCCATCCAGAACGCCCTGAGGCAGAGGCTGGGCCCAGAGTACATCAGTAGCCGCATGGCTGGAGGAGGCCAGAAGGTAGGCGAGTTTACTGCCTGAAAAGTGGGGGCCCATGATGCTGACTGTTGGACGGACTTGCCGGCTCCCTCTCTGGTCCTCATGGATTCAGTAGGTCTTTCATTCACTATCACTTCTCATCTCTGGAAAGGGATGGGATCCATCCTTCATTGTTCTCTGAAGTGGCCAAGCCACAGCCATGAGACTCTAGTCTCAGACCCTAGTTCTCTGAGATGAGTTCACTGGGAATTTCCCTGGAGTGTTTAGGGTGATTTTGACAAAAGAGCTGGTAAGGAATAAGTAAATTCTGATCCACAGTTAGGTATGGCGAGGAATTTTAACCAGGTGTTTTTTTCTTCTTTATTTTTTCCAGGTGTGTTACATTGAGGGTCACAGGGTCATTAATCTGGCCAATGAGATGTTCGGCTACAACGGCTGGGCTCACTCCATCACCCAGCAGAATGTGGGTGAGTGTGCGTCCCTTCCTGCCATCGGCCAGCTTCCAGCCGGATGGGCCGCGGGTGAGGGCCTGGTGGGTGTGCTCCGTCTCTGGCAGGAGGAACACGGGTGAGGCAGGATCAGCACACCCTCACCTGGCTGTCTTTCCCACCCTAGATTTTGTTGACCTTAACAATGGCAAGTTCTACGTGGGCGTCTGTGCGTTTGTGCGAGTCCAGCTGAAGGTGAGGGTGATGGAGGAGACGTGCTGGGGGAGAGTGAGTGCGTGTGGAGGCTCTGGGCCAGAGCGGGCTGTGTATTCACTCGGCCTTACTCAGGCGCCTGAGAAAATTTTGAGGAGCTCGTTCTCCTGCACATTTTTAAGTGACTAAGTATTTTTACCATATAGACAAATATTTGCAAGGGTGCATTTTTTGGTATATTGTAAAATTCTACATTCTAAAATAAATCTGCTACATCTTTTTAAAATGTACCAATGGATTCTAAATATTAATACCATAGATTACATGCTGTCATCTATTTTAAAAAATACGTATACAAGCTACTTTTCTTTTGAGCAAGTTACTCTAGTCATTAGAAATTTTATGTTGTTTCTTCTTGAACACATATTTCCATTCCATTTCCCCACTGTTTTTTTTTTTTTTAAATAATGCAAAGCGATGCTTTATCTCTGGCTGCGTTGGGTCTCCATTGCTTTGCAAGGGCTTTTCCCTGGCTGCAGTGGCCGGGGGCTGCTCCTTGTTACAGTACTTGGGCTTCTCACTGCAGTGGCTTCTCTCGTTGTGGAGCCCAGGCTCAGCAGTTATGGCTGTGGGCTCTAGAGCTCAGGCTCAGTTGTGGCGAACGGGGTAAGTTGCTCCATGGCATGTGGGATCTTCCTGGACCAGGGGTCAAACCCCTGTCCCCTGCATTGGCAGGCGGATTCTTATCCACCGTGCCACCAGGGAAGTCCCCTACTGGCTTATATTATATAATTGAAAATCTTTTAATAGTAACTATTAAAGCTTTTCTGCCTGTGTCCGTCTGTATGTGTAAAAATTTGGAGGGGGGAGTAAATTTCCAGTGACTTTAAGGCTATTAAAACATTTCTTTTGGATTGAGATATTGTTAATATTACAGGTGTTATTAACACACAATAAGAGTCAACAGTGTTTATTTTGAAGAGACAGCAAAACTGCATCAAAATATAAAATTTTATGGAGAACGCATTTCTTAATAAGATGGATGAAGCTTTTTTTCTATTATTAATATATGTATAGTTAGTATTACTTATTCCTAAACATCTAGCATTAATTCTGTTCTGACTTATTTTTGTAAATAGTACTGAAAACCTTGGGCTTCCCGGGTGGTGCAGTGGTAAAGAAACCTGCCTGCCAATGCAGGAGACGGAAGAGACACAGGTTCGATCCCTGGGTCGGGAGGATCCCCTGGAGAAGGAAATGGCAACCCACTCCAGTATCCTTGCCTGGGAAGTCCCACAGACAGAGGAGCCTGGTGGGCTACGGTCCATGGGGTCGCAGAGTTGGACATGACTGAGCACACACACACACAGATTGAAATCCTTATTCACATACACTGGGACTGGCAAGAGTCTCATTATAGTGTTATTCATTGACTGCTTCTGAGTTATATTTCAGAATCACAGTGTTATCATCAGAAGTTATACTCAGCTCTTTGCCAGCTGACAGCTTGATCAGGCCTACCTTTGCTTTTTGGTGGAAGCCAAGAAGTAGATTCCACCTGACTTGTGAGAGGATTTGCTATCCAGTCATTACAATCAGTGAAATATAATATTTCAAATTTTCCCCTTTCTTGGTATCCCAAAGGCTTTTTCTTTAACTTTCTCATATTGGAGTACAGTTGACCAATAATGCTGTCAGTTTCAGGACTACAGCAGAGGGGACTCAGTTACACGTGCATCCATTCTTTCTCCAGTTGTCCTCCTGTTGGGTTGTTACAGAATACTGCGCCGAGTTCCCTGTGCTGTACAGTACCTCTTTGTGGATTAAATACAGCAGTGTGTATATGTCCATCCCAAACTCTAATTATCCCTCCCCCACAAGGTTTTCCTGCTGTGTGGTAGTGCATTTAGTAAGACTTGGGCTGGGTTAGACTTGTGCCTTTTTATGTAAGAGGAAGAGAGGGGAGAACACAGATCCAGTCCAGGAGGCAGCCCTGGAGGACTGTCGCCCTGTCTGAGCATGGCTGCCTGAAGACAAAGAGAGCTATGAGGGATGGGCTCTAACTCCTAACGGTGGGGCCTGAACGCCTTTTCTGCCCCCAGGATGGCTCGTATCATGAAGACGTGGGCTACGGTGTCAGCGAGGGCCTCAAGTCAAAAGCCTTGTCCTTGGAAAAGGCCAGGAAGGAGGCAGTAACAGATGGGCTGAAGCGGGCGCTGAGGTGGGCAGGCACCATTCATTTCAGAGCTGTCCCCAGCCCCGCCCCACCCTTAGCCCCAGGCGGCCTGTTTCCTGCTGTCTTTCCCTGCTGCGCCTTTACTCCTTGGCCCTCTTTGGGGAATACTTGGTAGGATCCTGTTCTGTGCGGACCCCACCACAGGGTGCTTCCTCCTTGTAGCGCACCTGTGTGGTTCTTTGTTATGTGCAGGTAAGTTAGTTACACAGAGCAGGGTTTTAACCTTTTTGGGGGTTAAAGATGCCTTTGAAAATTGAATTACCAGAAACAAATACAGGTAAAACTTGCTTTAAAAATCCGCAGTGCCACAGCCTGTAGGGGATCCGAGCCTCCCAGTACAGAAGTCTAGTAGTGACGGTTGTGCCCCGAAGCACGTGTGCTCACTCACTGAGGGTCGCAGTGGTCCCTGGGAAGGGATCTCGGCCCTGGAGCTTGTGTTCCGAGGCAGGAAGGACCAGTGGGCTTTGTGAGTGGCTGACTCACGCCCTGTGCTCTGGAGCAGGGACCTACGACTGTCCCGCTCACTGCTGTCTTCTCAGAACATCATTGAGAAGCAGCCTGAACAGAGGCTGTAGCCCTGCTCTCCAGTGTGTACACGTAACTGTTCTCAACCCGGTTCCACTCTGTCTTACCCTTAGAAGTTTTGGGAACGCACTTGGAAACTGTATTCTGGACAAAGACTATCTGAGGTCACTGAACAAGCTTCCATGCCAGGTATGTTGGAAGTGGGGATGGTGACTCTGCTGCCCTTGTGTCTGAGTATGTGGTGACGGAAAAGGACGTGAAGACTCGGCCAGCTCTGGAGAGGGTCGGGAATGTGCACTTCCACCGTCTTTGAACATAAGAGCTGGCAGGGACCAGCCGAGGACGATGAGGCCGAGAGTCCAAGGTGCAGAGGAGTGTGCTTGGCAGAGGTCTGAGTGGGAGCACAGGGCCCTCTCAGCCCACTGCCATTTCTTACAGACCTCTGGAGCCTCAGCGGCCCAGCCTTCTGCTCTTCCGCAGCCCTGTGTCTGGAAGGGCTGGATTTCCGTTTGTGTAGGTGCGTGCCACATGAGAGTGGGGCCTGGAGCCCAGCGTGACCTGGGCTGGTCGGGCGCGGGATGCCCCTGATGCTGCTGGGTGGGGCTGTGGTTCTTCGGGCCCCTGCAGAGCCTCCACCCGCCCGGGCAGCCTCCCTCTGCTGTCCTCGAGGGGCCTTTTTCTTGTGCTGCCCCTCACAGAGGTGTGTGTCAATTGGCAGAGTTTCGTTTGTTTCTTTCCTTTTTTAAAATCTTTTTTATGTATCATTGGACTGTTTGCTATTAATAATATTGTTTAGGATTTCTGCTTCTGTATTCATGAGGGATATTGTAGTTTTGTTTTGTAATCGTCAAGAAACAAACAGGAGCTTCCCTGGTGGAGTAGTGGTAAAGAATCCACTGCATCAGCAGGTTTGATCCCTGGGTCGGGAAGATCCCTAGAGAAATGAATGGCAACCCGCTCCACTTCTGCTCTGTGCCAGGCTGCGGCTGGGGGCGAGTGGCATGAACATCCCACCTGCTTGCTGTAATTTTGTTTTGGTTTCACGTTGGCTTGAGTGCTGGCACGTCTTAGCTGGTCACTGGAGCTCTTACAGGGGGATTCTAGTCTGTTTACTGTTACCATGGTGTCTCCGTGAGGGAGGGCGTGGAGCTTCTTAGTCGGCCGTTTTGTTGACATGACTGTACTTTTTCACCTTTTTTTAAATGAAGTATAACATATACACAGAAAGCTGCGAAAGTCATAATGGCACAGCCTCTGTGAGCCTCACATTACTGAGTGAGGCTTCGCTTGTGGAGCACATGCTCTGGGTTTCTGTACTGTGATGATGCACGATCATTTCCATAGAAAAGTATGTCAGGCCCAGTTGCCAAGGAAAGATTGAAGTTAGATTTTACAGAGTATTTTGCCCTACATAAAAACTGAAGTGTGATTCCTTCATATGAAAACCCCGTTAACACAGAATGGCTCAGGTGGGAAATGGAGCTGTTTTACTCCACACAGAGTTGGAGTTACTTGCACTTGTGGATCCTTTGTCTCAGCTTCTCAGGACCTTGAAGGAACGAGGGCAGAGAAATGCGGAATGCCTTCAAGGAAGGGGCAGGAGCAACTGAAGGAAATTATTCTCTCTCCTTATTAGCCGCCTCTTGAAGTGGATTTAACTAATGCAAAGAGACAAGATTTTGAACCATCTGTTGAACAAGCCAGATACAGCAGCTGCCAGCAGAATGTGACTCTGGAACCCCCTAAAGCCCGGGAGGTGACCTCACCGTGCAGACTGAGCCACTCAGCTGGCCCCCACGGTGTGATGCAGGGGGACAAGGAGACCAGCTCCCGGTACGGCCGCCTGCCCTCACCTCTGCTCCTCCCACTTGCACCTTCTGAGCAGCACGTGGGGCCGTGAGCCCCCTTGGGAACTGTGTGCTGTTGACCAGGTAACTCGGAACTCCCCCAACACCCCACTGGTCTCCTGCTGCAGAAGCCTGGTCCCCGGCACCACGGAGAGCGAAGCCACGCTCCAGCGGAAGCTCCGGCAGAAGCAGCTGCAGCAGCAGTTCCGGGAACAGATGGAGAGACAGCAGCAGGCTGCCACCTCTGCCCTGTCTGCCGGAAGGAAGGACCAGGGTGAGAGGCTGGGGGCACCTCTGCCTGGAGCAGCAGGTTCGGTCCAGACCAGGGCTCGGCACACACGGGGCCAGGGCTTCAGAGCGCTGGGTCCTGCCCTGCGTTTCCCCGTGGGTGAAGACAGTGGTCCTCGGGGAAGGGAAACAGACAGCCCCTGACGTCACCAGAGCTGAACTGCTCCAGTGCCAGAGCTGCTTTGGGTCTCAGTTACTCTGGCCACATGGACATGAGCTCTTTGACTGTAAGGCAGAAAGTTGCGTGTGCAGGTGATGGGGCTTTTGGCAGTTCTTCATGAACTTGTGTTTATTTCAGAGTCCAGATTCATTGGGAGCAGTAAATACAGATTGTCTTGAAGTCTTCCAGAGACAAGAAACAAAGACAAAACGGATTTTTTTCCCAGCTTCTCCTTAAAAATTACTAAGATTCTGATGACTTGGTTCCTGTTTAGTTCTTTAAAACTCCCCTCAGCACTGGCCAGCCGAAATTAATGAAAGGAAAACCAACAATGGATTGTGCTGGGGCTGTTCTTAGAATTATTATTCTGGGTCTCTAGTTTCCAACCCAGACTTTTCAGTTTTTTCTCTAGTTTGATGAGAAGAATATGGTGTTTTCAGCTCTGGTTTATACAGATGAGTAGGTGGGACTGGGACATAGGGCTCCGAGCTTGATGGTGGCTGTGCGGGGCGGGTAGCCAGGCAGCTCTGCACGCACCCCTGAGGCTGCCCAGCCCCCAGATGACGACGGGAGCTCAGCCTGTCCCCTCTCTCTGCAGCGCAGCCGCCACCAGTGCCTCCTGCCAAGCCCAGCCTCCCCAGGACCCGCTCACCTTCGGAGCCACTCACCCAGAGAGACCTGCTGCCAGGTAAGCGGAGCTAGAGGACTGACATAAGGCCTAGTCAGTAAACATGTCAGGGGCCTGTGAGTCCCTGGTCGTCACGCACACATCTCAGAAGAGGCACAGGGATCTTCACTTCTGTCGGTTCTGTGCCACGGTGATGCGAGCGGCCCGATGCTGGGTTGAGTGCTAGCGCACGTGCAGCTCCTCTGCTGCCCCGTGGAGGCCTGGTGTACTTCCGCAGGACGGGCAGAGAAATTCAGATGCTGTCATGGGGCCCTCACGATACAGAACTTCTCATGACCTGCTCTTTTCTCTCGTTTGTGTTACGTTTTCCTGTGACTGCCGTCCTGGCAGACAGTCTTGAAATGTGGGACATGGCTATGGATGCAGAGGACAGCATGCTCAAGCCCTTGTCGAAACCAGAACCACCACAGACCCCTACCATCTCCATCCTGAAGAACCACATGGAGACCCAGAACAGGATTCCACAAAGCCTTTGCCACCAGACTCCACAGGCACAATCTGGACCCTGGCACCTCCAAACTTCCAGCCTTAACCAACACGCCACAGGTAGCCGAGTGTTCTAGGAGCAAACACCAAAGGGAACCTGGGTGTGTGTGATTGATTCACTGAATCTTAAAAGCAGGATGACATTCCATTTTAAGATGTCCGGTGGACTCCTGTCAGAGGGGCAGCAGTGTAAGAACGTGGAGGACAACTAGTTTAAGAGCCAGAAGTTCCCCTGGGGTAACTCTTCAGCTATATTTAACAGCTGTGGTTAAATGCAGGCCCATCTTGATTTCTCCTGCAACTTGGTCTCGTGTTAATGGAGGGATCTGTCCTCATGTAACAGTTCTCCTTCTTGGGCTCTGTGGTTAAAAGTAGGTAAACTAGGACTGTTAGCTAATGACTTCTGGATTGTATCAGTTGTTACTTTCTCCTGATTTTAAAAGTCACCGCAATTATGTTTGAACAGTTTCCTCTTCCACAGGGGACTGTGATTCCTCTAGGAAGAATCAGGACATGAAGAAGAGGAAACTGGATCCATCTTAACCAAGGCTCAGGTCACCTCCTGAACTCGGTTCTGACGGGACTTCATTTTGGTCCTGAAATGACTGCTCCTGCCTGAGGAGTGCGCTCCGCTTCAGGGCTCTGCCTGCTTCATCCTGAACTCTGCCGGAGGACTCGGCACCTGCTCACATCAAGTCGGGCAGTTGGGAAGCTGTGCAGAGACTCAGTGCCTTTTCTTGGGCTCCTCACTCTTTCTTTATTCCTAAGCTATTATGTTAATGAAGACAGAAATCACCTCGGCCTGTGGTACATCCCTGAGTGACCTCTGACCTCTTGCTGTGGGCTCCCCCGTTTTCTAATGCTGCCACACAAGACTGCAGTCTTCATCACTATCGTTTATCAGCTCATCATGAAACGACTTCCCTTTTCTCCTAAGACCAAAGAAAAGGCATTTTTAAGAAAGCAAAATTAAATCCTACCCTGTAACAATATAACAGGCATATCTCTTCTTATTGCACTTCACATTGTTTTTTAAAAACAAATGGAAGGTTTTTGGCCACCCCATGTTGAGCATTTTTAAAGATTTTTTTTTTAAGATACAGTGCTAGTGCACACTTCAACTACAGTGTCATGTCAACAGTGTTCATATGTAGCCGAAAACCAAAAATCTGATGTAAACAGCTGTTTACATTTACTTGTTTCAGATGCAAAGGGGCCTCATATCCAGTCCAGAGGCAGCTGGAGCCGTGGCCTTGGCCACGCCAGCATCCCCATTCCCTCACCTGAGCTGCAGAGATTTTTTTTCTGATTTTGGTATCGTTACTGCGATCTTCCTCATCTGCAGCATCTTAGTTCAGGTCAGAATTGCTGTTTGAAAAAGTTTCTGGAGATAGGAATCCAGTTATAAATTGCACACAAGTCATATCAGAGCTAATGTGATCACGAAAAGGCACCTGCTGAAAATGAATCCCCACAGCTCAACAAAACCAAGTTCGGTTTATTCGAATGGCTTCATCACATGTCCACAGGCAGAAAGTGCAACCCACAGTTAGTGCCAAACATAGGAGTAACGGCTAAAAGAATCCCCAAGGTTTGAATTCAGTTTATTTTTTTTTTAAACAGTGTACATTGTTAAATAATGTAAGGAAAACATTTATAATTCAGAAAGATTTTTTAATGTGGAAAAAGATACTCAAAGTGTACTATTAACACGAAAATAATTTAAACAGTTCAGTAGCACTGGTTCATTCCTCTAGGCTTGTTATTTCATCCACAGGAGGGGAAAAAAATCAACAGTAAGTAAAACCAGTTCTTACTTTCCATGTGAGTGAAGAGACCTCAAAAATCATTAAACCAAAGTGACAAGACAGTCGTGCTGCATTTGGCTCCCTCCTTTGGTACAAAGTCCTGTCTCCTCTGTCCAGGTGTCCGTTTCCCATTTCCTCGGCACTTCTTGTTCTGTCCTTACTCTTACCATTTCCCGAGGATTATAGGCAGAGAAAAAGTAAAGTTTCAAAGCAAAGCTTGGAGCACCTGCCCTTCTCATCTCTTACCTTCCTAAAACCTCAGCTTTCGTTTGTATCTTTGGGGCCTTGGCTAACTTAATAAAGAAAATGGCCAATGAAGGACAGAACAGCCAGGCTCTTCCTGTCATGGGAGATTCCTGGGATGGGCCACTGAGGTGGCTGAGAGTCAAGAGAAGCAGCACCCCAAGATTAAGAGTCCTGGCTTCTTGCCCCATCTGCTGGGAGAACAGAGATCCCCAAAATAGGCAATTGGGAGGGTATTTCCTGAAGTTTCTGAAAATAAAGAGAACTGCCCATCACAACTAGACATAACACTAAATAATACTGGCTGGCTGCAGTTATTACTTGAGGGGAGTCTCTCTTGATATGAGAGTATCCATTGTCATTCTAGAAACACAGGTAGCCAGGAGATTATGACCCTGCAACCCTCTGGACATTATACAGAAGTGAGGAGGAACAAGCAGCCGTTCCTGCAGTGCTTATTTCAGATGTGGGACCACCTGCCACAAACTGCAGGCCCCCACTTTGAGAAATACACGGTACGTTTGCACCAAGAGGAAAGCAAGCCAAACAATTTTTCTTAGAGCAACTTTCTCCATCTGAGACGTTTCACTATCACACCTCCCAACTTAAAAACTAGCCCCCACCCCCTTCCTTTCTCTTCAGCCATTTCTTCTCAATCTTCTGTGTTCAAGCCCAGCGCAGGTAAGTAAGGCTTAGGGCAGCCGCTGGCCAAGCACCAAGTCTTCAGAACACGTCTGTTCTCCAGCCTCTAGCCTCTCAGCACCTATCGCACACCACGCTCAGTCTGTTAACTGCCCAATTTGGTGACAGCATCTCTCCTCACTTGTCCTGAAACAGTTTTCTGCTTTAACCACTGATGTCAACTTAACTTCTCATCCTGCTCATCTTACAAAATTGTTAAATGACTTGAAAAAAAATACCCTTCCAGTTTCCTTACAACATAGTCCACTGCTGGGTCACACGGACCCACGCTGTCCTTCCACACGCCCTCGCGGACCACGGTCTGACGAGAAGCTGATGCAACGGCAGAAGCGACAGAAGTCCAAGGCACTAAGCGTCCAGCAAGCGGCACTGGGAGGACGGAAGGATTCAAGTCGAGTGACTTTACAAGTGTACATTCACATTTATTTATCTAGTACAATGGAGATACAAAGGGGAAAAGTGAAACCTCAGTAAGTAAGGACAGAGCTAGCCTTTTTAAGCCTTTCATATTTTACTCTTAAACTACTGTTGTCCAACAACATTTATACATCACAGTGTTTCCACATCAAAACTGATGGCAAAGTTACATGTCCGCAGGGAACTTAATTTTTTTCCTAATTGCTAATGCTGCAGTCAAAGCTGCGAGTATCATTTGCTTAAAGCACTAATGACCTATTTTAAGAAAGGGCTGAAACCTCCATCCCTCCCCTGGTGTCTTCACTGGGTTCTAAAGATTGGTTGGTTTGGGGTGGGGGGTAGGGGGAGACAGGAGAAAAAAAAAAAACAGTGGGGGCGACAGGGTAGGAGAGAGCCCGATAGTTTAAATTTTTTGTCTTGTGGTTTATATTCTTGAGGGAGTAAGTAAGGGGTTGGGGTGGCTCCCAAAAGGAAGAGCCCCACCACCTGAAAATGCAGACGGCTCTGCTTTTCCATAGCTCTCTAGGAGCCTTCTGACCAACCCGACTTCCCAAGCGCTCACTGCTGGGTCTGGGTGACGACAAAGCACACAAGACAGCTGCCCTCTCTCCTCCTCCCACTCTAGGCGGCGCTGAGGGCAGGGGAGAGAGTCCACTCCAAGGGCTCTAAGCGGGATTAAAACATTCCTTTCTGGCAAGAAATGACCAGTTAAATGCAGCACTAGTAGTTAGCATACAGGCTATTCCCCCCCACCCCCCACATTCCATCTCCTGCCCCCAAACCTTCCCCAGGATCGCCTCGGGTCTACGTGGTCCGCAGGTTGGAACCTGGGGGGTTGCTGATGGATTTCTGCAAGTTGCTGATGTTGAAATTCTGTAAGGAGGCTGTTCCCACAGGCTGGAACTGGCTAAGCGGCTGAGGTGCCGGGCCACCCGTCCCACTCCACTGCGTGCCAAACGGGGGGGCAGGGAAACCGTACTGCTGAGGGGGGCACATGGACTTGGGGAAGTGCCCTAGAGAGGTAGCTGACGCTGCAGAGCCGGGGGCAGAGCCGCCCAGGTTTGAGGTCATGGAGACGCACAGCTGACCGGGCGCGGAGAACTTCCTTGCCATGCCAGGGCCCTGGGGAGAGAATAGGCCGGTGAAGCCGTGCGGGTGGGACAGGCACAGGGCGAGGGAGAGTTCTAGGACTGGGCTGCTCTGACCTTCCAGAGTCGGGGGAACAACTCCCAGACAGCCTTCGGTCACCATCACTGGCTCCTGACACTCACCACATACCTGTTCTGACTGGAAGGGGGTGGCGTCGCATGCCTCGTGTGAGCGGCGCGAGCATATGCCGTTCAGAGTGTTAAGGAAAGGGGAAGAAAGACTGGGCTGACTCGGTTCAGTGAAAGGAATCCAGGGAAAGAACCTAAGGGACCTGGCTGATTTCTTTCTTGCCGGAAGTGCTAGAACTCAGGAGCCCCTGGAGGTGGTCATGGCAGGGTCCCGTGTGCCCAGCGACACTGGACAGGCAGGAGGAAGCATGAGGGGCGTGCTGACCTCATAGCTCACGTGTCCTTTGCTTCCCCGCCTGCCTGAGAGACTCATGGCGTCCCGGGCCCAGTTGTCCACCAGCTTGTGCAGGTCATCCGTGAACGTGCCCTTCCTGCTGGACGTCACGGCAGGAGGTGGAGCCGGGGCGGCCTGGCTGCTCACGGCTCCCCCGACGGCGTTGGTGCTGCTGGTCCCTGAGGTCAGAAGAAGCAACAAGGCACGCCTGTTAGCAGGGACTTGGGTGGTGACTTCAGGGAGAGGAGAAACCTCCCACGATGATGAACGGCAAGCCCAGGATGGGGGATGAACCAGGGAGCCATGCAGAAAGGAGGTTTCAGGGTCTCGGGAGCCAAACGCCGCGGCGGAGCAGGGCCGGGGGAGGCTCTCCTCAGGAGCTGCCGGGGAGGGATGAGGGCGGGGGGCCTCACTGCGCCCGTCCCCGCGGTGTCGGGACCACGGACACTTGCTCTGGGCCTCTGTGCCCAGCACCCGCTGAGGAGAGCTGTGTGCTGTAGCCGCCAAGCCTGGCTGCTCTGGACACTGCAGGATAGGGCACGCGACGAGGGCCCCCCGAGCACAGGCAGGGTCCCCGCGGGGGCCGAAGCACTGTGAGCACAGGCCCGAGGAGGGCCGGGCTCCCCAGCCTCGGGGGGCCGGGGTCTGGGACGCGCTCAGCCATTCTTCCACAGAGAGGGAGACGAGAGAACGCGTGCTCTGTTCAGAAAGCTTCTTCACCTGGGCCCCTAAACATGAATGCAAACATGAACTTGGGAGAGTGAAGGCTCAACCTCTCCCAGCTCCCCGTGAGTGAAGCAGCACGAGGACGCGAAGGTTCTCTCTGCTGCGCCCGAGCCTCTTGGCTCCAGGAAGCCACAGCGTCCCCGAGGACGACCCCGGCTGCACCGTGGCTGGCTTCTCCCACCCTGACTCTCCCCAAAGAGCAGGCACTCTCTGTGCACCCAGGGAGGTGGGGGGTGTGGGGGAGCAGGAGGCTCTGGGGCTGCGATGAAGGGACTCTATGGTTTGATGAGGAAGAAAGGAGTCTGTGTCCTGCCTGATTTCGGCTCTGCTGGAGGGCACACTGGCGATTATTCGAGAGGCAGGTTTGAGGGAAGAGGGAAAGAAGAGTCAGGGTCTTGTGTATTCCCCGCACCCCCACTTTCTTACCAGATCTCACATGTGCTGCGGAATAACTGTAAGCGGCCACTGTAAGGTGTGAGCCAAGAGGACTTCAGATCCCCAGTCAAGGCCAGGGCTGAATGTCTAAACGTGGACACTGCCCGCTGTCACAGCCCAGCAGTGCCAGAAGCAACTCCCCCCACCCCCAGGCCCCACGACGGGGAGGCTCACCCGCCTGGGCCGGGCACCCAAGCCCAAGTGCGGGATCAGCTGTCATGAGGTGAGGCTGCCCAGCGCAGAGGTCCCGTGCTTCTCAGCACCCAGGCAACACGGGGGGCAGGGGGTGGGGGCTGCGTTCCCTACAGAGCAGAACCCAGGAGGAAAAGTGGGACGCACAGGACACAGGCTTCCGGGACGGCAGGAGGGAGACAGCGCAGGCGGGGGACAGGGGTGGGGATGGGTGTCGCAGCGCATGCATGGGGACCATCTCACCCCCGCCCCCCGGGTGAGTGACCACGGCGGCATGAGCTTGGTGGCGAGTGAGACAATGAGGACGACACAAAGGATCACAAGTGAGCATAGCTGTCAGGAGCCCGTGGAGGGGAGCGCTGCTGGTCACAGGCTGGGCTCAGCTGGGTGCCGAGGCCCCTCGACATGGCTCGGGGTGGACACCGGGGGAGCTTCAGCCACACAGGCAACCTTCTTATTCTGGCTTCTGAAAACCGCCTTCCCGTGAGACGATGACACACACACACCCCTTTCCAAGCAGAAATTAACTCTGGGAAAAGCTGGCTTGGCTACTAAACCCAGGAGAATGGAAGTGCATGTGGTCCGTGGCAGCAGGAAAGCGGTGACGAGACCGGCAGAACAGGCGTTTCCGAGACATGGCCAGCCTTCAGAGGACACTCACTGTCCTTTAAACCCTTCTTAGTTCTGCTCAAAAATTCTAAAAGCAGTGCATGCTTTCCCACCAAAATGTTCTCTTGCTGTAGTCTGCCCCCCACCCCTGCCCCCTCCTAGTAACAAGAGCCCACTATGAGCCACGCTTATTGCTGCCTCCCAAGCACCGTTTTCTGGAAGAGTCCCTTGGCGGCAGCTGCTACTGTTCTCACTGTCTACACAGCTGGCTGACTCCTCAGGGGGCGCGAGGCAGCCCCACTCACCCTATACACCCCAGCGGGCGCGCCCACCCACAGCGGTCACAGGGCTGGGTGCGGGCTGCCACCGAGAGCATGGACTGTGAGGGGACTCAGAATCTGGAAGGAGAGCCAGTGGCAACCACTGAGCGTGTTGAAGACGACACCAGAAAAGGGTGCAGGGCTGGGGTCCGGGAGTCGAGAGGCTGCGGGGCGCAAAGAGCTCAGGGTGACTCGCTTCACAGTCAGGGACCAGAAGTAACAGAAAGAAAGGATAATTACTACAGAGCTGGTTGCAAGGGCAGACTTTTTTCACCATCTTCCCTGAAGCACAAAGAGAGAGCAGTGTGTTAAAGATAAGGAAACAGAAGTATAAAATAATTATAGACTCTCCAAACAGCACACCAGGGCCCAGCAGGAGAGAGCAGGAGGGGAGAGGACGGGGACCGGCACAGGCGCCAGGCTGTGCAGGGGGCCCCCTCCCGGCCCATGGCCCCACCCCACTCTCTGTCTGCAGGAGCGACCCTGCACCAGGCTTCTGGGGCTCTGGCCTCACTGCTGGAACCTCAAGTACCCAGGCAGTCTCTCCACGCCCTGGCCCCTTCCTGCTTCTCCTGCTGGGCTGTTAAGACGCACTGCATTAAATGCATTAGCAATTCTACCACAGGAGGCTGACAGATGGTACCATTGTTACAGTTCTCATTTAAACTGGCTAACACACTATTTCCAAACCCTAGACATACATACTAACCCCGTCCCCTCTAGAAAAATCTTTTTTATGTGGAAAACGAGCAACTTTCGAACAAAAATAAAGCATGAAGCCAAGCCGTGCTTCCAAACCATTATCTATTTTGAGCATAGAGTGAAGCACCCCAGACTGGTTAAGACCCCATGCCCGAGAGCCCGATCTCTGTCCATATTTGCTGTTTCACCTTTTTTCTTCTCTTCGGCCACACCACACTGCTTGTGGCTTTTAGTTCCCCGACAGGGACTGAACCAGGGCTTGGCAGTCCTAAACCACTGGGTTTGTTTGCTTTAAATCTGCATCTTGCCATCTGCTCACAAAGGCTTACATGATGGACGCTGATATGCCTCCAACGGAGGCAGGGCCTCTCATTTTAGACCTAAGGGAGCGATCAGATTTAATACTTCAAACCACTTTCATCTGAACAACACTGTAACACCACCTACCTTTAGGAGTGCGATGAGAATGTTCTGAGCTAACAGAAGAGGTCCCTATCACATGACACATCCCTCACAAAAATGCCCTGGTGCTTTTCCTTCCCCGAGACACTACAGGCTACATAACACAGGACTTACACCTCCAAACACTTGTCTCCTGCTATTACTGTCTCTTCAGTCATCTTTCTAACTGGACTTAAATGCTTACTTAAGTGTTGAGGAAATAACATTCTTGGTTCAACCTAGCCTTGCCAGGCCCCGATAGCTTGGTTGGTAAACAATCTGCCTGCAATGCAGGAGACCCCGGTTCGACTTCTGGGTCCAGAAGACACCCCTGGAGAAGGGATAGGCTGCCCACTCCAGTATTCTTGGGCTTCCCTTGTGGCTCAGCTGGTAAAGAAGCCGCCTTCTTCTCCCGCAATGCGGGAGATCTGGGTTTGATCCCTGGGTTGGGAAGATCCCCTGGAGAAGGGAAAGGCTACCCACCCGAGTATTCTGGCTGGAGAATTCCATGGACTTTGTGTAGTCCATGGGGTCACAAATAGCTGGACACCACTGAGCGCCTTTCGCTCACCCGCTCAGCCTCACCAGGAAAGCTGTCGCCCCACCAGGTAGGGCAGGCCTTCTGCCTCGCCCTTGGCCACGCAGTCCTGGACTAGTGCTGCATGAGGCCCAGGGACCTCTGAACCACATTCAAGAAACGACGACAGTCCAGAGCACATGCACTTAAAAAGTATGTCAACAGCCACATCAGAAGTTTGAGGCCTGAACAGAGAAGATCTTTCAGCTCAAATGCAGGCTTTCTATTTAAACCTCAGTTTTGTTTTTAAAATTCTCATTTCAACATACATTTATCAACTACCAGAACGTGCCAGGCTCATCAGAGAGCAATGATGTGTGCTTCCCTGGGCTCCTGTCTTGTGCCCGTGATCTCACCGGGTCTGTGCAAGACCGCCCTCACTCCTCACACAGGGAGGTGGGCTGGAGAAGCAGATGCCTTGTTTTGGGGAAGAAAGCTGAGAAGTCCCAGCAATTTTGTTAAAAAGCCCATCTTCGCTTACAGGTGCTGGCCCTCGGTCTTAATGAGCATAATTTATAAGACAAACTGCACTGAAACCCTCTTTGAAATACTGACTTTATGGAATCAGAGGGCAGTGGTGGTGAAAGCATCCAGTGAAGAGATTCCAGCATCTTTACAATTGATAAGATGGTTATGCTTAACTGAGATTACAAAAAAAAAAAAAAAAAAAAAAAACCTTTCAATCTACTCTGCAAAATAATACAAAAACAGGGTTTCAGTTTTCCCTGCACCGGTGATCAGGAAGCTTTCTGTGACTTCTAATGCCAGATCAAGGGGCAGCACTATGCATGGCTGGGCGCGTGGACATCACTATGCTGAGTGACCCAGCAGTCCCTCGCCCTGGACACCAGGCTGCCCTCTGGCACAGGCTGAGGAAGAGGCAGTTCTATCAGAAAATTCATTTTGACGTTTATAGAAACCTATGACCAGTTCTCCATCTTTTATCATAATTAACAGAGGCCCAAACTTCTGAGGGCAATACTAGTTCAGCCAAGCCACTGCGGAGATGACGCACAGACACAGATGAAAATGGAGCGCGTGAGACAGACCCAGCGCAGACACAAGGACGAGGAAGGAGTAAAGGTGTTACACACAAAGAGCCAAGCAGGGCGTACTCAGAAATCGCGTCCTCCTGCCGCCAGCTTTGAATGTCACCTGCTCGGACGCACAGTTAAACTTGGCACAGCCTGTGAGAGGGGAAGAACGGGGAGAACAGGGAGAGAAGAGACAGAACACAGCTACGAGACGTTAGAACCCGAGCTGAGAGCCAGATGTGCTAGGACGGCACACAGAGGGACGAGCTTGCAGGACAGGCCTGCACGCCAGTGGCAGGGGTCAGGCCTGTCCCCCACCGGCCCAGACTGCACCACCCGCCAGCACGCACATCCTGCGAGAGACAGGCTAACCTCTAACCTCCACAAAGCTGCGGCAAAAGCACCTCCGTTTGCCATTTGGTCCCCTTCATTCTCTTCCACCCAGATGCCCAACACCTTTTAAGTTCTAATGTTACTAAAAGGTCTTTCCTCTACAGGAATGTTGTGAGTAATCATTTCATTAAACCTCGGTTTATTAAACGACCTACGCTTGGGAAGCAGGTTAAAGGTAGCAACTTGAATTTTAGGGCTATTCACTTTAGTATGTCTCTCTCACACTTGGAAATTATTAAAGTCTACACTGGCTGAACAAATGCATTAACTTTCAGCAAGGGCTAAAACGCCTAAGAATCTGGTTGCAGGAAACCCTAGTCCAGTGTTAAATCATAAGTTCCAAATCCCAAAGGAGTCCTGCACTGCACTAAAGCATCAGAGGCACTTTCTGCTATAATCCCTTGAAGAAAACCTACTTCCACCAGAAGGAAGCAGTGATCTCACCCAAGCGGGTTGCCACCCACCCCCGACAGCCCACAGAACCGTGTGGGCAGCAGGCGGCTGGTACCAGGTCCACTGCTCCCCCAAGCCACCCGCCTGCCCCAGGCTTCTGTCCTGCGTATGGCTGTGTCTCCATTTCAAGGCTCTCGGAGGATGGTGGCTGCTCGTGGCTCTCACCTTGACCTGGAGCAGAAAGGCTTGGTACTGAAATGGCACCATCACTGGTGAAGGCCGAATACAGGTTGTCACTGGAAGGAGATGGCTTCATGGGCTGTAACAGCTGGTTGGGCCCTGTCTCTGGGATGCTGCCAGGAGCAGGGAGGGTCTGCTGAGGATGCAAGACTGAAGCTGCACTCTGACCAGACAGGGTACCTGTCAGAATATACAGTGGTGTGAGGGAGGTGCACCGCTTTCCACCTGCATGGGACAACTACTGTCCACTGCTTGTCCCACTGAGGGAGTGATAATGGGTCAAAAGCTACAGACCAAAGGGCAAAGGCCTCCGGACAGGACGGGGAGTAAGAGATGGAGGAGAGGCGACAGGGCTGCAGGGCCCCATCCCTGAAGCTGCTGAGTTGCAGATAACCTGGGGGACTCAGGAGTCCAAGTTGGGTAAGATGAGAGCACGTGCAGGAGACCTGAGAACTCCCCTGTGCAGCCTCAGCCCTGCCTTTACCCTCTTATAGCTGAGACTGGTCCAGAGAGAGCCTCTCCTCAGTCTTTCTGGTACATGTGTCAAACTAAGTACAAAGGTGTCAGAAATGATAGAGGGATTGTAGAGTAATGCATATTTAGAGTTATTTTTGATAAGTGGCTTTCACTCATTAGCCAGGTGTCCTAAAGTGTGGACATCTGGCTATTCCTTAGAGTAACTAGTGGAACAGAAGTGCACTTCAAAAGAAGGTTGAAATTGGGATCAGAATCTAAATTAGCTGCTGTGACGTATGATCTCACATCTCATAATGAATTGGCTTTAACATCCCAGAGAAAAGGTTTGGGCTCCTGAAAACTTGCAGAGAATGGGAAACTGTTAAGCCTGCAAGTGCTTTCCAATACAGTTACATGAGAACTGAAGAGCTAGTGTGAAGTGAAAGTATGTTCCAGCTGCTTTTACTTACAGCTAGTTATCTAACATTACCATTAACTTCACCAAAGAGTAAAAACTCTCTACATAATTAAGAAAATAGGCAAATCACAATTCAAGAAATTATGACTTAACTGTTTTTTAACTATAAATACTAGCGTGTTCTTTATTCTAATATAGCTAAATAAAACACAACTTTAATCAAGGACATTATCACATGACATACCCAAACACCTACATGAAATTTACACTCATCCCAACTGTGATTATGACCACTCCACTCATTAAAAAGAGAACTGACCTGGACTTTACTAAATAGAGAACAGCGTGTTTTTTTCCGGCCACCTAGGAGTTTGGGGACATGTGAGTTCTGTGAGTCAAGAACAACTACACATGAGGGCAACCACCAGACAGCGATGTGGACAACCCAGGAAAAGGTCACAGCACTACCCTGTCTCCCAGACTCAAAAAGAGGTGCTATAAATATGGGGAGCAGAAGGCAAGGAAGTCAGAGTACAGAAAAGTCAATCTCCTTCACAATTAATTCAACTGAAGTAGCCAATATTCAAAAGATTGTATACACAGATGGAGACAGAAACATAAGACAGGATGTCCACGGCTGACCTGGTCCAGGGCTTTTATTCCCCAAAGAGCTGCTGCGACTGGACTTGCTCCCTTTGCTTTTGGTGGGTCGCCTCCTTCTCCCTGCAAGGGGGGCTGCTGGGGGAATGATGACAGCGGGAGGAACCTTGCCCAGTTTGGTGTATAAAGACTCAATTTCATGTTTCTGGCGACTCTGCAGGTCCTGAATTTCTTTAAGATGTCTACAAAAGATAACCAAACAATTTAAAAATAGAATAACCAACTCTGTTTCAACAAAAATTAACATTATTTCACCTTTACCCACATTTTTACTTACTAATGAACCTGTCCCTCAAGTGCACTTAATCTAATTTATACTAGCTTGCGATTCTGGTTTTTCAGCTCTTCTTGCTGGCCTCCATCACCCAAGCCAAATTCCAACAAGCTCCTAGCCAACCACAAATGGATGATGATGTTCCAGAAGGATTTCCTGACTTTGAGGCTCTATACAGGATACTAAACTGGCAACTCAAATCCAGTTTGTCAACTGTGACCAAGAAAACCTGCTAAGGCAATCTACACCCCAGTGCCATTACCAGATTCATTCAGTAGGCCAGGAAATGGTTAAGATTAGGTTAATAACGCTAAAGTGCTATTGTTAAAAACCACACGGTAGCAGTCATGCACAGGTGCTGAGGCAGTTCTATAACTAGGGATGCCCCGAGTCCTCCCAAGAACTACATCCAGAGGCCCCGCTCCTGCGTCATCTCTCCAGCACCAGGAGCTGGGTCCTCACACAGCTCTGTCGCCACCCTCATGGGAGAAACACACTCACTTTTCCCGTAGTCGGCGAAGCTCTAACTTTAAGTCCTCGTCTTCAATGTCTGACTCATTGTCACTGCTCATGTAGGAAGAGTTGAAGGAATTGCTGAGGCTCTGACTGAGGCTCTGGGCAGGAAGGCTCTTGGAGCTCAGCTGCGGAGGGGAGTGTGGGCTCCCTGAGCCGGCATCCGCATCCCGGCTGAGGAAGGCAGCCTCCAGGTCGGAAGACGGCCCGTTCAGATGCGAAGGCTCCGACAGTTCAGGTTTCTCTTTCTTTGGCGTCACGGTGGGAGGAAGGTCGTGTTCCGAGTCCACAAAAGGAGGGGAGGCCACTGGCTCCTCTCCCTTCACCTCAGCCATCTTGTCTTCAGTTCTGGACACAGAGAAGCGGCCCACTCTGCTCGCTGTGGTGGTCACCTGGAAGCGGCCAACCCTGCTAGGCTGCCCAGCTTCTGAGGTGGGCAGCGGGCGGGCGCTGTCCGGCACATCTGCAGAGGCGCCCCGGATGGCCAGCCCATTGGGCTCTGCCTTCACCACGGTGCTCTCGGGGCTGCTACTTGACAGAACTGAGGACTCTGACGTGCTGGATTCGAAGTGGACAGACTTGACATCCTCTGACTTACTTTTACCCTCTTTCTGGGGATCATCCATTGCAACGGAAACCTGACATAAATAGACCAAAGTGAGATTAAAAAACTCCCAAACACTCCATTTTTACAATGGATGATAAAAAAAGTGAATCACTTTATGTCCCAGTCTGAGTAGGTGAATTATTTGTTTGCACAGGCCCTCCACCTGTGAAAACACAAGGAACCGCACTGTAGAGCAAGACATGTCTGCACTGAGATGTATGATCAGATGCAGATTCTGAGCGGCTGGCTAAGCTGAGTAAATTTGCTATTTCCATTATCTCCCGTTGTGCACAGGACTCAGATCACATCTTGTGAAAATATAAATAACAACAGGTCACAGAATACTGATGATTGCTTGTGAACAAGAGAAACTACAAAGATTAAATCCAATAAATGTTAAAGGCCAGCTAAGCTTCAAGAAACAACACAACTAGTTAGTGCTAAAGGAAGGATCCATATTCCTGTGCTAGTTCGACAAAGTATTATAAATACAAACTCAGGGCAACCACAAACTCTGAGAACACTTTACAAATGAGAAGAACATGACCCAATACCCCCAGCTTCAAGTGCTATCCTGAGAATAATTAGAAAGTAGCTAAGAAAACAGAAAAAGATCTTTAAAGCCTGCACTGTTTCCTATCACATTTTGCTTCCCAACTGGGAAAATATAATTAAACGGTATCATTTGATGCTGACTCAGTGAAATCAAACTTAAGAAAGTTATCCTAAACATGAAAACTGTTTTTATACAAAGATATTTACTGTTACTTATTAAAAAATTAGAAACAGCCTAATGACTGACAACAGGAGAATGGCTAGATAACCCTAGCCCTAAATGGGAAAAGCTACAGAGAGCCATCAGAAAAGAAGCAGGGTCAACGTCAGGTCCACACATGCACAGAGCAGAAGGAAAAGAGGAGGATAGGCAGGGATACAACTGTCTACTGTTTCTCTACCACTCTAAGTATTCTTCATTTTCCTTAATCAGCAGGTATTATTTTAAGAGAGGAAAATGATAAACAGCTCTTAAGTACTCCCTATAAAAAAGACATGTCATTGATGGCAATTCGGTTCCCAAAGACAGATGCGTTTCTTATATACACACTCCCACCCCGAAATGGGAAATTCCTTTTTTATCATACATACACCACTATCCCCCGTATTGGGGATCCTTTTTTCATCACACACACACTACCCTCTAAAAGCGAGAGTCTCACCTGAAATCGCCCCATCTTCAGAACACCAGCTGTGGAAGTGGGTGCAAGGACAGGAGCTTCTGTGACTTGAGAGACTGAAACAACTACACAGAGGAAGAAAGGAACGAATGTGAGCATCTTTTTAGCAGCTTCCTTTCCCTAGCCAGAAACATAGCAAATAGAAACTGTGCATTCCAAGAAAAAACTCATTAGAGGAGAGCAACACTTCCTTATATCTGTCCCCCCTCACTGAGCCCGACAAGGGGAAACGGTTACTGCTCGCCTTCCTACCAGACACCTTCTGTGTAACCCTCTGCCTCCACGTATACCATACACAGGACAGCGCACCACGTGGAGGAATAAAAGCCACACAGCAGCAATGCAGCTTCCCAGCTTAACTCACACAAGAAGAGATACTAAGGCCGACAGGCAGGGACACTATAGCTCTGTCCTGTAACTCAAAGATGTAAATAAATGAAGCAAACCATGAGAGTCTGTTGAAGACACTAAAGACCCATTTTAAATGGGAACTAGCTGTAGCAGACTTTTATAGCAGCAACTGCTCTAATATGTATATTCTTATATTAAAAATCATGGAGTAAATTAAGAATGGGCGTACTGAATCTCTGCCATTTAAAACTCTGACAGACATAAACTGATCTCCAAAAAGGCTATATATATACCAAGTCACCAGTGGTTATTAACTTCTGAATTTACTAAGGACAGGGGGAAAATATGATGACTTGTAGTTTTATTCTACTGTTCTGTTTCATGAAGGAAGTCAAATATTTTCATGTCTATGTTTTTTTTTTCCCCCAGTTATCTTTTTTAAAATTTTGGTCTATGCCAAATTTACAGAAATTCTTTATCCTGGCAAAACTAAGTCCTTTTTGTGACAGGCATATACAACACACACATTTCCCAGGTTTTCATTTATCTTTCTCTTTGGACATAACAGTCCTTTTCCCCCCATGCAGAAATTGAAAATCTATAAATGCTTCTGGGTTGGGTATTAAACATAATAATAACATCTTTCTCTGTATCAGGGAGTAACAAACTATGATCTGTGAACCAAATCTAGCCCACAGATTGTTTTTATAAATAAATTTTATTGGAACATAGCTCATTCATTTATTATCTATTATTTCTTTGGGGCTACAACAGGTTAGATATTTGAGTAGTTGGGACAGAGACTGTATGGCCAGCAACACCTGAAATATCTCCTCTCTGGCCTCTTACAGGACAAGTTTGTCAACTCTGCTCTAGATAGTTGAAAAAAACAAAGAAAGATCCACTTTGAATTTATTTTGGCCTAGGCTAGTGACACATCTTTACTTTCTTCCAGATGGCTGTCCAGTTGTCCAAACCACTTACTGAAATACCCCATCTCGTCTCATCAATTTGAAAGGCTACCTTTTTCATATTCTACATTCCATTTTAGTTTGTCCATTTCTAGACTTTCTAGTCTATTCCACTCATTTTCAAGTCACTTCTTTTAAAATAAGAGCCAATTCATAGTGTGACTGTCTTGAACATAATTTAATTTAGAAAGGTCTTAAGTGAAACTTAGCACTTTTAAGGAAGACAGGAAGTAGTAAGAGCATTCAGGCAATCTTACTAATAGTTATACGGGGAATTACGCTTATGTCAGGTGGTGTTGAGGAGGATGGTTATTTGGAAAAGGCAACAACAAAAAGAAAGTGTTACATTTCCCATGTTCTATGGGACTGATGGTGAAGAGAGATTTACAACAAAACTTTACAGCAATAATAAATAGCTGATATGAACTTACAACTAACATCATGATAAAAGTTCTAATAAAACATTTAAGCTGTTGGTATGGATAATTTTTACAGAATTAAATTTTTTTGGAAAAGTACCTTTTTAAAACAGATTATTTTATGGACATGCCAATTCTAAACAATTCAGAAATAGATAAAAATAATGTTTAAAACTGAGAATCTGAACTCTTACATACGCATTTTCACCATCCATGCTGTTTAAGCTTCTATATTTCTATACATCTCAAAAGCCAAGAGGCTGCAAATAAATTAACTTTTATAAATATGCTTGAATTTCCTTGTCATGTTTTAGCAAGGATCTGGCCTAGCTAAAAACAAAGAGTCTTATGCTAAGAAACTATCATTACCCCCTGGCAAGCCACTGCTCAAAAAGAAGTAAAAACCTCATGACCCTACTGACACTATTGCTCTAGATGTTAGTATTGGTTCTTGTCAATCAGGAAATACATAAGAATGTCCTCTGACAGGCTCAAGTACACCTGCAAACTCTCAAGAACGTGTACCTCCCACCATCAACTATAGGAAGGCCTGGCATGGGAACAGGGAGGAAGAAGGGTGCTCTCACCATCCTTCGGAAGCTGGGCTCCTGTCTCCACAACCGCTGCTGGAGCCACCACAGACACGGGCTGCAAGACACACACAGACACCACGACGGCTTTAGTGTCAGAGGCTTGGTAAGAGGGTCTTTTCCCTGCTGCCTTTCTGCTCGTCAGAAAGAGCAGAAAGACAGGATATGTAAAGAAACACTTTTGTCTAAGGCAATTTTTCTTTAATAACCTAAAAACTAGTCTGATGTAAAGAAAGGCAGATGTTCTAGAGATTTTTTAAAGAGATTTTGAGTCTTCACCTTTCCAAACTGCTTTCTTAATTTTTCTCATGGAATGCTTAAACATGGATATTCCACAGAAAAGTAATCTGAATCAGAACATTATTTTGTCACAAGCCTAAAAGGAAGACGTTAAGACTTCAAACTTAAAAGTGTGGCCTCCTGCCAGGCATAAACACAGCATCCACAGGGCTGGTCTGTGGGAGAGCTCTAACTACAGGGAAGATAAGAAAATCAAAACTAATGTCTTGCTTGGTTACGCTGCTAGGTCAGGGTTACTCCTTCATTAACCATCTCATTTCTGTTGACTGGAACAAAAGCAAAGACTCTGCTTTGGTGCTAAAGGTATGCAAAGTGGTCAAGGTCACAGCTTACATCCCAGAAACCTAAGACATGAGGGTTATGGGGAGATTTTATCAAGGTTGTCAGAACTCACACCAACGGCAGACGTCAGCACGCCACTCTCGGGACTGAGGGTTCTTCTCAGCTGAGCGTCCAGGTCTCCCAGGGGCTGCGGGGGCTGAAGGACACAGCATGGTGAGCATACCCTCGGGCACGGCCAGTGCCAACGCACACGGGACACACTGCTTCCTGCTCAGACCACACGCGTGACCTTCTCTGCTCACTCAGTACTGAACCCAATAATCTACACTCACCTTAGCTTTCCTGCTTGAATGATTAACCAAGCTCTCAAAACAGTATCATCAAGTTCTCAAGCCACACAAAAAACCATTTACATTTATATTTTTACAGTTTTGAGGTCTTCTTATATCTATCCTCTCCGTAAAAATATATTCTAAAACATGTATCAAGATTGACGGGCAGATGAGCCGTATGTTCCCTGTTTTCTTCTTCAGTTTGGTCCATCTCCCCGAGGACCTGTCCTTGTGAATAACAGGAGGCAGCAGCACACTGTCACTGCCTCGGCCTCCATCAACCGTGCATCTCTCTAGCCTTCGTCCCCTTAGCCTCACTCCCACAGGTCTAATTTTCAGTTTCTCATTTCACATTTTGGGCCTTCTGAGGAACTGGAATACATGTTTTTAATGAGATAATAGGTTCAAGACTTTCACATTCTTTTTCAAAGTTTAGCACCTGATGGAGTTTGGGTTCTCTATTGGAGTTATTACTTATTTAGCAAGTTGCTTAAATTATGCTTTACTGTGTATCTGGGATTAAAGAAGTAAGGACAAACTCAGACTTCAAGTTAGCAATTTATCATATTTTTTCTTACATCTTATTCTAAAGTAAGTCCCTAATTTAGTTTCACTGTTTACTCACTTGTCCTGTGTCACAAGCTCTTACATAGTTACAATGGGATCATACCAAGTACTTTATTTATAGGAATTTGACTCATGTGTGAGGTTGGGGGTAGATTGGGAAAAGCCATATTAATTCACAGACTGCAGGCGATTCTGACCCCAAGTGAGCAGAACGGGTGTGAGATGGGATCTCATTGTTACGTCACTGGTCTCACTTGTCTCTGAGCAATCTCATGTTAGCTGAGCTCTGTTGGGTTTTGGATTTTAAGATTAGTATCTGTTTTTCGTAACCATGACCCTCTCATACCCAATTACTTCATGAAGAGGTCACTGAGAGAAATGTCAAAATTCAAGAAAAAACAGGCCATTATCAGTTATCAGGGTGGCACCCTTTTCTTGGGAAATTTCACCATTAATTTTGATCACATAAAAATTTTTCACTTGCCCAATGGTGTAATCTTTCAGTATTCTACAGAAGTATGAATGACAAAGCAATTATATCTTTTCTGGCAAAATGTCACGTTTACTATTTTTTTCCATAAGATATGAAAAAATATTAACATCAAATGATTTCTAGATGATTTACTTCTGACTTTAAGTAGGACCTATATTGTCAGCTACGGTATTTTAAAAGCAAGTTGTTACTAAGTCAAAACCAAACGGGAGCCAGAGGCAAGTTCATGCAGTGGAGAACTGCAATAAGCTTTGAGAAAGAAAGGAGAGGCACAAACAGAAATCTGCCAAGTTGAAGGGCACCTGAGTTAGTGAAGGTCCCGGAAATGGTGGCAGCTGCTCACTGGGCGGAGTATCAGCTGGAAGTTCAGTGCCCACGGGCAGCACCTACACACAATGAAGGCAAATTCAAGTCCGTGAGATGCTGAGCAGAGACAGCATACAGAGAGCAAACCAACTAATTCAAATGCAGAAGCGTAGGAACAGGACACATCTGGTTAAGGGAAGTTTGTTGCCTGGGTCACAATCTGGTATCTATCATAAATAAAGGACATTATAACCGTGGCACTCTTAGAGGGGTTACCATGATATACCAACACAACGAACAGAACTTAGTAAAAGGCTGTTCCTGAGGGAAAGCAGAGCGGATGAAGGCTGCTGGACACGAGGCACAGGCCAGGCCTTCGCAAGCCTGTCTGGCACAGTGTCATCAGGGTGTCTGAGGGCACAGGACAGTTCAGAAATAACCATGGGGCAGGTCTGATAGCCAAAGGCATCAGAAATCTAATGCCATCAAGTCATCTGTATGCTGTCTGAGCGAAGCCGCTGTGCTACCCCACCGTACAAGGGATCTCACACAGAAGGCAAGGCAGAAAGAGGGGGAGGCAAACAACAGGAGAAACACAGCCTTGTTGAAGAAAAGCAGAGACTGAAGATGGCAGAATGAGAGGGAGGCACCACAGCAGAACCAGCACACACATTCTAGTAATTGTATCCTTCACGTTAGATTCACTTCTCCTTCCATCAAATTTACCAACTTCCAACTTTTTATAAACTCCAAATTGTGTGTCTATGGAATCTGAGCAAAGCAGAAAACCTGCTTCATTCTCATGGAAACAAAGACTGTGAACTGCTGTCACCCAAGTGCAGCTGCCAGCAGGAGCATCCCACGCCCTGTGGGATATGGGTTTCTTCAGTATCAGTCTGTACCGATTCAGAAACAATGCCTGTATTTTACCTACTATGCATTCTTAGAAAATCTTACAGTTAACCCCAAATCCTGCCACATTTCAAAAGAGAAAAATCTCAAGTTCAATGAACATATATTCTAAAATTACCTTCAATTAATTTCATAAGTATCTACTATTAGGAAGCCAAGCATCATTATAACCATACTGCAAGGCTGAACTGAAAAATGTACTTTGGGGTGGGGGTAGGGAAGAGCAATATTTTCCAAACTATCTCAAAATAAGAATCTTACTGGAGGCTTAGTTAAAGGTGGCTTTGCTGGAGGAGTTTCCAGTTTCACTCCCGGCGCAGAGCTGACTGGGGTGGGAACTTGCCCAGGAGTGACCGTTGGTATAACTGATAAGCCAGCTGCTCCTAAGGGCAGACTGGCCGGTGGCAAGCAAGTACTGGCAGAGGAAGTCAGAGGCTTGCTTGGTGCAACAGCAGCGGCCGGGAGGCCTGCTGTGACCGCGGTTTCCACAGCGAGCGAGGTATCCAGCGAGACGGGGGCATGCTGGGCTCCAGATGAGCCATGCTCACTAAAGAGAGATCGCAGCTTTTCCTCCAAAGTCTTGATATCGTCGATCCCGGGAGCTTTGGGTTGAGTGTCGGTGTCTATCTCAGGACAGTGAGTGTGGGGCTGGTTGGGGAGCGGAGCGGGCTGAGGCTGACTATGAACCAGGGTCTGCTGCACGGCAGGCACACTGACAACAGGCTGTACCAGGGGTGGGATACCGGGTACCTGGGGCAGTAGGGGTGTTGACATGGGTCCTGCCTGGGAGAGTACGGGAGTAGAGGCTATGACTGATGGGAGAACCAAAGGGTGAGCCGCGGCAACAGGCTGAGAAACAGCACTGGACACTCCTGCTCCGGGGGCGGGAGAGGACGAGGTGGCAGGAAGGGGCAGAGCCAGTCCAGTGGTGCTGCTGTGAGCTGTCTTATCCAGGGCGTGGGCACTGACCAACACTGTTTCTGCCAGAGCCGGGGCGGAGGTGCTGCTGCTGAGAGCAAGGGACGGCGGTGCCATGAGGCTGGGGCCCAGAGCGGCAGCGGGCATGGCTGTCAGCGTGGCCACCCCGGCCGAGCTGCCTGCCGCGGGCTGAGACAGCACAGGTGGAAGCTGAGCAGCGGAGGCAACAGCACTGCCCACAGCAGAGGCTGGTGCCAGGGATGTGGGTGCAGAGGGGAATGTGCCTGCACTGGAGGCCCTGCCGCCGGGGGTGGGAGCCTGCGCTGCCTGGGGCACCGGCAGTGCCGAGAGAACTGCAGGGATGGTGATGCTGGGGGCCACGCTGGAAGGTGCCAGGGACTCAGATGCAGGGGGTACAGGGAGACCACTGGGAGGCATGACACCTGTTCCAGGGGCCACTGTCACCTCAGCCTGAATGACCGACGTGGCCACGTCACTAAGAGGGTGACTCGGGGCAGAGGCTGACACTGAGGCTGCGGCTGCTGCGGCCGGGGCTCCAGGGGCGCTGCTCAGTGGGGGAGGCACTGCTGGAAACACAGGGCCTGTCTGACCAAAGTGGGGAGGAGCCGTGCTCGGCCCTTCTGCCATCCGAGCATGTCTAAGTTCAGAAAAGGCCTGCTGCAGACTAAGGGACGAGGCAGAGTGAGACAAGTTCATTCCAGGGCCCGCAGATGTGGAAGCAGCAACTGCAAAGGAAAAGGAAAACTCAGACTCAGTCCGTTGTAAAAAGCCAATTCAGAAGGGTGCCCTCACCTATCTTTGGGCTTCTTAACAGTGCCACACACCCACAAGGTGCACGAGCCCTCCCGAGCAGGTGTCAGCATGTGACAGAGGAGCTCGAGCAGAGTAGGTCATCTTGTATGAATGTGTACTTCTGAAAGAGACACAGAGGGACGGCAAGCCATCCATGGTAGCGCTAAATGGAGACACACAAGGTGCTGACCCCATGCAGCATAGGTCACACAGGCTGTGTCTAGTGCAGCCACCCTTTCGGGCCCATTTGCTTAAATCCACTCTATTCATCATCTATTTCCCTTCTCCATATGTTTATCTGTTGATTAGTCTCAATTTTCTACTCTTCTGTACTGTCTATGTCATCATTTGACCAAGCTTGCAATCTAGGAGGGACAGACATGTATGTGGGAGAAACAATTTCTTACCCGTATCTGAAATTTCAGTGAAAAGTTTTGATTCTCGTAATCGACTTTCTGGCACAGGACTTACTATAAACCGTCTTCCAGCAGAATGAACAACTTGAGTTAAAGAACTGGCAGGAACGCCTGCTTAAAAAGAAACAAACCACTTAACTGTGCTATTATTACATACACTGTCACCAACACAAAGCTTCAAAATTTCATCATTAGCACACAACTTCTTAGGTAAAAGGTAAGAACAAACAATAAAAAGAAAAGAAATTCACCTATCTGTTGTGGCATGGAAGATGCAGGAATCGGTTGTTTGAACTCTCCTTCCAATTTCTACAACAGACAAAAGGGATTAAATGTGTTCTCTAACTCAATCTTAATGATCAAGTAAAGCAAACAGCCACATGCAAAGAGAATATAAATGCTGATCATCTCAGTTACAGGTGTGATGTGGTATCATCGGACACTCGCAAAGTGTCAGACTAGATGGGTCAGACTCTGCAAGGCAAATACGGCATACTTTTACCATAAACAGAGCTTCACCATGGGAATAATGAACCTACCTGGGCGCCTGAGAAGCCATAGTCATCCTTGCCATGGAGACTCTCCAAGCTCTGGTCACCCTCTGGCTCCACGCTGACATCCTCACTGAGCATCTCGTCAGCTTTCTCAATGATCTCCCGCACTTGCTCCACAAACGCATCTCTCTCCAGTGCCAGAATAAAGTCATTGTTCACCTGTAAAAGGAATGTGACATCCACCTTTCGTATAGTGCTAGAGCTTTAGTCATCCCATCACCACTTCTGCCCATCTGTGTAACACCCATAATGTGATTTGATTACTACGTGAGTCGGTTCTTCAATACCTAGTTACACATGACCTAGAAAAAAACACCTGTAAACCACAGGTTTGGTGTGCTAGTTAAATTCACACTGAAATAAATTCGTTACTGTCAAAATAGTTCACAGAATACTGCACATGTGCCTAAGGCAGTGGATATGAAGATCAAGGACACAGGAAAAGTCTGGAACTCCAGACAGAGACGTACCATAATTGTGGCTATCTCCTCAGGGTTGTCACCATCTAAATCGAATTTGAATGTAACCATCTTCCGATTGTGAGTCTCTAACTGACATTCTACCACCCGATCTCCTTTATTTGAAACCTAAAAAGAAAAAAGGAAAGGTACTTCACATCTCAGAACACCACACTCAGCTCTGGGACTTAATGTGACAGGTAACACAGGCCAAGCACTGCCTCTTATACTACTAACAAGGAAACCTGAAGAAAGTATCAGCCTTTCAGCTGCTTGTACACTTATGGAGAAGGAAATGGCACCGCACTCCAGTGTTCTTGCCTGCAGAATCCCACGGACAGAGGAGCCTACTGGGCTAGTCTACAGGGTCGCAGAGTCGGATACAACTGTAGCAACTTAGCGTGCACTTGCATACATCTTTCACCAAAGGGTCTGGAAGAAATGTAAGGTCTTTGTTCTACAAATAAAACCCTATTTCTTTCCTAAAAGATAAGACAGTGCCTTCTCATAGAAATATCGAATTTAACAATATCATCTGGGTGATTAAAAAAAAGATCCCAAACTTTCATCAATATACCCAAGCTTTAGAAATATTTAAACATTATTAATCAACTGCATGAACCCAGAAGTCAGCAACACTTACATTGAGAATTCTCAGTTTGGGGCGGGAAGGCTTCTCATGACGAGAGCGGCTCCTTATAGACTTCCGATGCAGCCGCTTCGTCGTCCTGCCCTCATGCCTCCCGCTGGAAGAGGGGACGTTCTCGTTGCCATCACTCATGCCTGAAGCCACATCTGAGTGTGCGCTGCAAAACCAAAGTTTACGGTGAGATTTCAACCTTCCTTCTATTTCATCCTCCCATCAAGAATGGACAACTGCCCTGTCACACACCTGTCTATAGAAGAGACCACCGTGGCTGGCTGGGCAGGCTGTGGCTGAGCCCCGGGAGCTGGCTCTGAAGGAGCCACCTGAGAGACGACCTGAGTGCTCTGTGAACAGAAAGGGAAATTCACACCTCGGCCATAAAGCAGAGTATTACTGACCATCCCCAACTAGCTAGTCTTTTTTTTTCCTTATCCCTCCCCTAAGTTCTAGAAGCACTACATTTACTAATAACTCTCAAAATCAGCATCTACAGACAGTTGTCTTAAACTGCGAAGGAAATTTCTAAAGCCAGTCTCTGGTACAGACTGCATGGTGTGTCATCAGCCAGAGGAGCGGCTAGGTAGTGAGGAACTACAACCTGCCATGCAGCCAGCATCTCATCACAATGTGCAACAGGGCAGGCAGAGCAAAGTGCGGAAGACGGCTCAGAGCTCTCTCGGAGTGGGGCAGAAAAGACCACTGGGAGCATAGCAGGGGAAGCTATTCTGGTGACTGCCCATGGCAGGAACTTGTGAAAGAAAGGGTTAAGAACGACGGCTAGAGAGGGGTCAGCTAGAGAAGTGAAGTGCTAACGAGGTTAATCTTCTCAAGGCACACTCACTTCCCAACAGAACAGCCAGTGGCAACAAGGCCCCCACACTGGCATTTCATTCTGCTGTAAGAAAAAGTCATTTACAAGTTAGTTTGAAATAGTTTCCAAATGAATCCTAAGTCAGGGAACCTATGTTTCTCCTTTGTCATTTCTATCCCATTGTGCGTACGCTTCAGACGTAAACATGCAGGAACTCCATTTACCTCCAGAGCTGCTTGCTGGGAGGATGTGGTGGGGGCTTGTGCTAAGCTCACTGCTGGCTGGGACACCTGGACCTGTCCTCCTACACTGCCCACAGGAACCAAGAGACTGGATTCCACATAGGGCTGCACCATTGCAGGAAAGTAACCAGGGGCAGCCAGCGCTTCTGCTGGCATGGGAGGGGACAGGACTGCAGAAGGCAGGCACACAGAAGCTGCACTGGAGGAGGGAGCAATGTTTGAGTCTCCTGGGTACTGTGATGGCAGTCGAGGTGGGAAGCCCTGTGACAGAAACGAGGAAGGGAAATTAGTGCAGGTTGGGTCATCCAATGAGCAAAACAGCAAGACATGCAAGGGAAAAAGAAAAAGAAAGGAAAGCACACAGCAAAGAAAAGTAGCCCAATCTCTAATAGTTTAAACATTTTCAAATGAAATGATTGATTGATTTCAATTTAGAGGACAGGACTGTACATAACTGAACTTTTAAACTGCTGCTTTTTTTCCCTTCTGGAGATGATTTTAAATAGGAAGAATAAACATAATTCCTCCAAAAAAACATCTACTTTCCAGGCAGTCCAACACGAAAATGCAAAAACTCTTGAAGGTATCAGTCATGCCAATCACATAATGACTTGCTAGTATTCTAAATCTAAACCCTGAAGGTTTCCATTGACACCATGTTGGCTACCCAACCATTACTCCTCCCATAAAAAAATGCAGCCTGATACAATCTACTGTGAGTCATACCAAGCTCTCACTCACAGTGAATGCGGAGAGAGCCATTTTTCTCTTAAGGAGGGGTCTTGGAGAAGATGCAAATGAACCAGACATCTCTACCCGGTCCTTTCTCAGATGTGGACCATTCTGGCATGAGAACAGCAACCTGTGTTATTGCTGGTTATTATGATATTCAGTTATTCATTTTTTAAGTCCCTGATGTTCTGTCATTACGACCAAATGCTCCGTGGCCCTTCTTCTGCCAGCCAGCACAATACCTGGTAGAGAATATCTCCAGGGGGAAGTGGCACCTCGGCAGTCTGTCCAAGGCTGGCGGGGATCCCCATGGACTGAACTGCTGGCTGCAGGAGCTGCGGGTGAGCCTGACTCGGCAGCTGGGTCACAGGCTGCAGCAGGGCAGGAAGCTGACTAGGGACCACAGCGGGTGCCCCTGGGACAGCCGCCGCCGCAGCAGATGAAGCCAAGGTGAGCAGAGGCTGACTAATGCCAGCTGCCATCGTGACGGGCAGGGGTGGGAAGCCTGGCTGAGCCACGGACACGTGAGGAGGAGCAGAGGGGAGCTGAGAGACGGGCGGCAGCTGAGATATGGGGTACTGGGGCAGTAAAGAGGGCGGGAGGGGCTGTCCCACAGGAAGGAAGTGAGCACCAGCATGGACGGGAACGACTGAGGGCTGTGTTGCAACTGGGATCTGAGGTTCGCCTTGGAGAGTTGGTACTGGCTGGGAAACTGGAAGCTGGGAAGGTAAAGAAAAACAAAACAGATAGACTTAAAAAAAAAGAAAAAAAGCAAGGCTGCCAAAGCAAGACTTGTTTATTAGCCAAAAAGAAAGAAAATTAGAACAAACACCAATCCCTGCATACATTAGTGTAAGTTAACGTGCCAACAGGGAGCAGGGAGAGGCAGCTGCAGACAGGCGGCTGATGGACTGCTGCTGTTCTAAATCTGCACTAGAAAATTCCGCTCACACTTTACCATCAACAAGACAGCTCTTGCATAGGAAATGTCTTCTTCACATCCTGAATGAGGCATGTTTCACAAGCCATAATCCACTGGCACGTTTGCTGTCACTAAACTTACAACTGCTATTATAGTAATGGCTGAAATTCAAAGGACTTTCTCCCCAGTGGACTTATAGCTCATCCATATTGCTTCCACAGTTCTCATGTCCCACCCAGGCCTGTAAGAGTAGGTCTATGACCATATTCCACTAATTGCAGGATGTAATCATGTCTTTCCACATGGTCATTTTAACATTTATGAAATTAAGATATACCTTACAATTAACGGTGCATCAGTTCTCAGTGTTACCTAAAATAATGGTGCATTTTACAACTGACAGTCTCACAGATGTGACAAAATATGACAGAAACAATACATTGTATCAAAATACAAGCCCAAGTCCCAAGGTTAAAGTTGAAAAAATGTCCTTCAGAAAGGTGTATCTTCAACAGGGCTACTTTTCAAGTGACTAGAAAGATTATTCAGGAAAAAAAAAATCATATAGCGTTTTTTTAATGACTGTCAGAAGACAATAAGGGCAGGGAACAACACATAAGTCTACATGAAAACAGCATAATTGCAAACCTGGAACAGATACAACTGACAATCCTAGAAAATGTCATCACTGCAGCACCCTTATCAGTTCTACATCTGTTAAACTTATTTTCTGTTCAACCTAAAAGCTGAACATTCTTGGATTACCACTGCTGTATAAACACCCATTTATATTAATCAATTCATATGTACAAAAGACACGCCATGGACAGAGGAGCCTGGCGGGCTGTGGTCTGAGCAACTGAACGGGAACAATGCACAGAAGTAATGTTCATTCCACTTAGCAGTTTTACCACCAGGGAAGCAAAAGTCATGGGGTGCTCCTTCCAGAAATGTGGCACTCACCTGTTTTCCCGCGGACACGTGTGGCAAGGCCTGTGGAGGTGGAGGCTGACTCACGGGCTGAGCAATCGCGGCCTCGCTGGGGGCCGATGCCTGAGGGAGCGGATACTGCGCCGCCTGCTGAGAGGGGGCTGTTGGCTGCACTCCTTGCTGCTGAGAAGAAAACCACCACTCAGTTTTATTTCAAGTCATTAATAGCACGTTTCTAAGGCAGTACATCTGCTTATCATTGTCTGTAAGAGATGGCAATTTTAGTAATCAAGACATGCACAAAGTCAAACTCACCAATTCCCCTTTACACATCTTCATTTTTCCTCTGCTGCTGTGTGTGATGGGACAACCAAGAACTAACCCATGTTTCCAGTCTGAGTCACCACTGTTCTTCACCTGACATGCTCCTTACACCAGGAGCAGCTCAGATACAGGTTCAAATAGATGTTCTCTCCTCCAAATGCCCTCCCCTCTTTGCTCCCATTTCTTGATAGCAGCTCTCAATGTGGTTCATATTAAACCAATCCAATGGGCTTCCCTGGTAGTACAGATGGTAAAGAATCTGCCTGCAATGCAGGAGACGCAGGTTTGATTCCTGGGCCAGGAAGATCTCCTCGAGAAGGGAATGGCAACCCACTCCAGTATTCCTGACTGGAGAATTCCATGGACAGACCATGGAGTCACAAAGAGTCAGGCACGACTGAGCGACTAATGCTGATGCTGAATCTCTTCCTGTAATCTCTTAGTCTAGTTTCTCAACTGTATAATTAATTTGCTTAAAGAACAGCTCTGACAATAGCTACAAAACAGAAGAAAAGCACTGAATTTTGAACTCCACCAGAGACTAGCTCTGATACCTTTGTGATTGCTCATTTTACTGTCAAAATGAGGTTTCTTTCTTTGAAAACAAGGGCACAATCACTCAATTTGAAGTGAAGCAAAGTGAATGACATCAGGGAATCCAGCATGTGCTGGACACTCTGGTATAATACATCTACACTCAATGCTGACATGTAACTGTACCCAAATACTAAATTTTGCAGTAAAATTAATGGCTCCCTCTAGCTGAAACTCTGAACTTCACAGCTGACTTTCAAGATTCTCTAATACCTATCAGTAATTTAAAAATTAATTTTTAAATACAAAATAAACACTTGTTTGTAATAAAGTTTTAACCATTATATTACATTAATAGAGTTAAATGAAAACACCCAACTTCATTTCTCCAGATATAACCACAATTAGTGGTCCGGTGCACTTGCTTTATGGATTTTCTGCTATGCATAAGTGGTCACTTACACACATTGATTTAAAAAAGAAAAAAAACAAAAGCCCATTTTTATAAATACTATTCTCTGACCTACCTTCATTACATTTATCTATGGTACCAATATCCTAATGATGAACATTTTAGTTGACTCAATATTTTGTTACTTAAAATAATGCTACAAACAATAACAGATTTTCACATATTTCCTGGTCCATACAACTAATTAGTTATTGCTGGTATAAAGATAAGCTATCTGTGTGTATGTGTTTGTGTATATGTACCTAATTGAGATACAACTGACAGGTAACAAAGATTTGATATATGTACATACGGCAAAATACTCACCACAGTAAGTCTAGTTAATATTCATCACCACATATAACTCATATTTTTTTCCTGTGATGAGAACTTTTACAATCTTCTATTAGCAGCCTTCAAACATATAATACAGTATTATCAACTATAGTCACGATGCTATACACTGCATTCCCAAGATTTTTGTTTTTATATTTATTATGCATCTGGACACCTCAATAAGCATCCTAGATTTTGTTAGGTAATAATCGGTAAATAATATTTCTGTTCTCCATGATATTTATTTCTTATTTCTTATTATACCAATTAAAACCTTCAAAAGAATTCTGAAATGTAGTAGTGACAGTAATCATGTTTTATTTTTATTTAATTATTTCTGATAATGTATTCTTATTAACTTTAAAAAATTAGGAACTAATGGCTGTTGAATTATAAAAAATTTATCTTCAGCAACTAAGATATATCATAAATACCCAACTATAAGGCAACTCTGAATGTAAGACAATTATGCCCATTTTCCCACTAAAAACTAAAAAAGTAGAAAATGCTTTTGGTTAACCTGAATATATTGAAACTTTAAGGAACTCACATGGAACTATCTAAGTTACCTAAGTCATTAATTTACATAGCTAAATAAGACTGCATATTATATAAACAAAGTAATTCAGAAATACTGCTCCCCTTGCCTCATTCTAGTTCTTCACATGTAATACATCAGCATCTTTATCTTCAGGAGACCCACACTAGGAATGATCTTGGTTTTCTGCACACAACACAGTGCCTTTCCTTTAAGTTGTGTCTTGAGGTGAAATCTGCAGTGATAGCAGATTTGTCTGACATCTGTTTGGTTAATATTAGGATAGCTGTAGTGTTCTGCAATTGCTTCATAAGAGCATATTCATGTAACCTTTAAGTGATCTGTAAGTTATTTACAGTGAACCTGGAATAGTGAGGCTGTTCCCCTAAGAATAAGATGTATGATGTCTCGGCTTATATAAAACCAACTCTGTTAGACATTGCCTACAAACATTCCCAATCATACACATACCACTTAAGGTCCTTACAGGCACATCTGTTCTCAACAGTTTTACTTTAGTCCATTCATATTTTTTATGTTATTGTTCAAAACAAAGACCAGTGAGAGCCCTCTGATATGAACACTGGCTCAAGGTCTGATTATCTGGTGGTCCCCTTTGTTATAAGGGGTAAATTTGAGGAAAACCTCCGCCTTGTATTTTTATGTATGATTTACCTCTCCCCCGATCTCCATCAGTGCAGAACCTTGCTTACATCAAGGTTTGGACTTAATTAGCTCTTCTCAAAACTTACACCTTCACTTTCCCCTGCCTATGTTTTAGGCAGTATGTGGGATCTTAGTTCCCTGACCAGGCATTGAACCCCTGCCCTGGTCTGCACTGGGAGTGCTGAGTCCTAATCACTGGACTGCCAGGGAAGTCCTGACTTATCTGTATTTTGGTTACACTGAAGTCAAGGTTTGTTTGTCTCACAGCTGTCTACCTTTTTGCCTTCTACCTTGCTTATACTGCCCCCTAGCTCACTCTTTTCTTTGGGCCTAGACTCCTTATATCCTTCATCTGAATCTAACTCATAATCACAGTCCAGTTCAAAGGCTTTCATAAACCTACTGATATCCCCCCCTCTCTGCTCAGAAGAGATATAATTTCCTCCTTTCATGGAGCCAGACTGCTTGGGTTTAAATACCCTCTCTGAGAAGCTGTGTACATCTGGGTAAAGCACTCAGCCTCTCCAGCTCTCGTCTCAGCTTTCCCATCTGTACAATGGAAATGATGGTACTTGGAGGGTTCATATAAGGACCAAATAAAAACCCAGGTAGAGTGTGTCATGCATTGTGTATAATGTTACTATTATCCTCACTCCTTTTGTAGAAGCTGACATACATGTTTACCAGATGACTCAGGTTCCCTGAAACTAGCCTTCCACAGGCCATCTTGCTCTCCATCACTGCCAACTCAGCACATGGTCCTTCAGAGCATGAACTCAGTTTGGAAAAAAACTGTTTAATTAGTTGCTGTGTGTGTGTGTGTGTGTGTGTGTGTGTGTGTGTGGACTGTCTAAAATAAGCAGTTTTATAGACATACCCTCACTCCTTGCTTAAAGTAACCGAGAGGCACGTATGCCAGTTAACCCTTAAAGCATTTATAGAAAAGTGGCACCTCTGAATAAGCCAGGAGTATATGGGGTGGTTTTTTTGCACAATCACCCTGGCTAGTAATCAACACTTTAGCCAAACAAATATTGTTTTAGCCTAACAGCTTGATATCATGCTTTGCATAAAACTGCCTCATGAAACCAGTTCACATAACCTATACAGACTGTGTACTATCTGTCGGACAAGGGTGCTTGAAAAAAAAAAATACTCCTACACCTGAGTTGAACAGAAAGTAAGAAATAACCTAAATCTCTACATGTGTTCTGCTGGATGAAATTATTAAGTCAGTAGGGTAGGTCATGACCTTTCTTGGCAGCAAAATACTGTTTTCCAGGAGAAATCTATTTTTGGTACCGCATTAAGACACAACATACCATTAGAAGAGATTCCTGAGGAAAACCTGAAAAGACGCAATGCCTTATTCATTTTATTTCAGAAACACAGAAATAAAGAAAATTTCAGCTAAAGTTCATCTCTTTCCTTACACTAATAAAATTAGAGGTATGGTTTCCTAAGGAGGCACTGGGTCCTGACAGTATGTAAAACATAAATCACATCTAAAAAGAGACTCTAATTGAATACTACAAAAGATTTACCATTTTTCTTTTCTATATATGGAATCCTAGAAGATAAAACTAACTAAATGCAGCTTCTTGGGCACCTCTGCATAATCATGAGTCCCTGTGGAACTTTAATATAGGGGGGAAAAATACTGGAAGAAATCTTAGGTTCTGGTTTGTAACATTTCATTCTATCTACCTATTGGCTATGCAACCCTGGAAAAGTTAGTCCATACTGCATACACTCATGCAGACTGTGATTCTACTTAATTAATCCTATATTTAAAATAAAAGTGTCTGAAGAAAGCATCACTGAAACAGGCACTTTCGTCTGTACTGCAGAGACAGTCACACCTTTTCCCATAGCCAACCACCTAATTCCTTTCAGCTGACAGGGTTTGCGGAGCTGCCCACCTGACTGAGCACACTCTTATCACTGCTACACTCAAGGGCTTCCTGCACTGTCTGCTTCATTGCATGCCTGAATATAAGACATCTAACAAACTCCTTTGAAAAGGAAAAATAGCATACACTGACACCTGTACATTTTACTGGTATTGGTAGGAAATTGGTACCAACGACAGTGTCTGTTCTCATCCAGCTTTATGGAACTTTAAATCTGTGTTCCTATGAGAGGTTGTTATTATAATTAGACCTGTTAAGGGTGGCAAAAATGTGACTACTTGAATTTAACTATAATTACACACAGATTAAGATACTTGTCTGGAAGAAAGGACAGGAGCAAGATAAAACAAGTTATTTTCAGCCCTTCCATTCTATAAGACAGAGATGTTGGTCACAGAGAAAATGGATTACATAGGTATCTCAGAGATAATACAGATTACTGGCTCCAGATCACTGCAATATAGTGAATATTACAATAAAGTGAGTCACATGAATTCTTTGGACTGAATTTCCTGCGCATATAAGTTATGTTTATACCTTACTGTAGTCTATTAAGTGTGAAATAGCAGTATGGCTAAAGAGACAATGTACGTACCTTAATTTAAAAATACTTTATTGCTAACAGATGATCACCATCATCTGAACCTTCAGCAAATCGTAATCTTTTTGGAATAGTAACAAAGATCACTGATCACAGATCACCATAACAAATAGAACAGTAATGAAAAAGCTTGAAATACTATGGGTATTACCAGAATGTGACACAGAGGCACAAAGTGAGCAAATGCTGCTATAAAAGTGGTGCCGATAGACTTGCCTGAAGCAGGGTTAACACAAACCTTCGATTTTTTGTTTTTAAAAAAAAAAAAAAGTGGTACCTACGAGCACAATAAAAAAAGGTTTCAAAGAATACCTCATCTTAAGCCAGCACCATGACTACATGATCACATGCTAAGATAAGCAGGCCATTTGTAATGAGAATTAAAAACTTAAGTTTCAAAAATTAATAAAAACAAGACAATTCAGAATTTGGTGGTTTGAAAACACACTTTGTAGGGAATTATCAACAATATAATTCATTGGGAAGTTTTTATGACACACGCAGTGACTATAAATTTTACTTGTAATGGATAATAAATATTCAATTGTGCCCCTAAAGCATTATTTCCTTATAAGTAACTATTGTTAACTAATAGCAATGATGATCTACAGACTCTTAATTTTAGAATCAGCAGTTTTGCTGTTGAATACTTCAGCACTGTACCAATCTCTCAAGCTCTCTGAACCTTTGGGAACAAACTCCCCCAATCAGAAGTTTAGAACATGTTATAAAAGTTTCTGAAAATGGTTCCTAGGCTTTCATTCATTTTAGCATAAAATCTGACACCTCAACGTACAGATTAGAAATAATTAAAAAGGTGTGTAGAATCATTAGTGTCAAGCACAAGGAAAGCAATGATAAAATGCTCATAAAAGGACAAATCATGAAATATACAGAAATAAAACTGATATTCTTTGTAGAGTTGATCCTTGAATAACATGGATTAGAATGGCACGGATTCACTTATATGTGAATTTCTTTCAGTACTATACAATCCAAGATTAATGAATCCATGGATATGTAACCATGAATAGGGAAGACCTACTATAAAGTTACACACAGATTTTCAACTGAACAGAAGGCCTGTGCCCCTAACCCCCTGTTGTTGCTCAAGGGTCAACCACATTGTTAAAATAGCATAGAATCATCTGTTAAAGAAGGCACATAAATTATTTCAGGAAAAATTCTTTTGAATATCAATATATGTCTAATCTAATAAACTGTTCAAAAATACATTAAACGAAAGATTCTTTAAAATGTTACCGAAGACAAGAAATGTTATGCTTCTTGATTTTCCTTTCAAAAACTTAGCAAGCCACTTACATCAGGAACCCAATTCATGAAAGATGTAAACAGGGTTCTGGATAAAGCGCAGCAATGAGTTGCTCTCACCTGCTGAGAATGCTGCATGGGTTGGGAGGATGGAACCCCTGTTAAACTACTTGAAGATGGCTGACCCTGGCTCTGCCCCTGTGCCTGAAGGAAAGAAGTGAATACAAAAAATTAGAGCAGCCCAAAGGTACCTGTATACAGAGGTCAGGGTTCTGCAATAAACATATGAGTTCCTGAGAGCCTGACTGAGCAAGATGAAACATTAGCTTGATCAAGTATGGAGGGAGAGATGGCTGGGGCAGGTTTTTAAAGAGAAGGGTAGAGAAGGATCATATTATAAAACATACCATGCAAAAAACCACTGATGGTTAAAACCTAACCTATCCCACTGCTCAAACTATAACTCTGACCTAAATAGTAAGATTCATAATAAAATTGTTACTGAAAATGAGGAAAAAAGTAACCAGACTATCAATGTGAAAAACCTATCTGAACAAAAAAAAGGGGGTATTTGGATAATGTGACTTTGGTTCCTTTTGCTATTTCTTATAGTGATATAGTGACTTTTGTCAAAAATGTAAAAAACAAAAAACAAAAACCTGGTACTATTAACTGCCAAGTACCTGCAGCAATGGTTCTCAACCAGGGTCACTTTGGGTGCCCCACACCCTTCCCAGGGACATTCGGCAATATCTGGATGTGTCTCTGGCTGGCACAACTGGGAGAGGTAGCTGCTCCTGGCGTTTAGTGAGTAGAGGCCACAGATGCTGCTAACATCCGACAAATGCACAGAATAGCCCCCACAACTAAGCATCACCTAACCTAAAATGTCAATAAGGGTGAATCTGAGAAACTCTCACCTAGAAGAGATCTTAAGCTAACCGAGAAGGTGAGAGTGAAAGAAGAACTTGACAGAGGTGAGTTATGAAGATGAGAAGTCCCACCTCTGCTGTCTCATCTCAGTTCAGAGGCACTTCTTTGAAGCCTACTTGGATAGGACATCCAATCCAACTGCATCTTAACCACCTGAGCATACATTCCTGCTGTACCTTTCCTGTAGAGTACTTGATGCTTAAAATTTCATTTTGGAAGTTTACAGAGTGAAAGTGGCAGTGCACACATTTACAGCAGAGCTGGCAACCAGTGTGTTAACGTGAGCATATCACACTGCATGTGCACGCAGTACAAATTCTCAAGCTCTGCATCTTTCTGCTTCTTAGTATTGCTCTAAGTAACTAATATTTGATGTGTATTTTGGGGGATACTTTTGCCTCAGATGAGGGAAGAACATAGGAAGAAAGTATGAAGAACATATAGTAATTTATGTAAGAGTGAGATCATTTAAAACATCTAAATAACATCCTGAATACATAACTGCAAAGTCTCCTACAAAGATTTCATAAGACTTATACATTTGACACAATGTATCAAGGGAATATATGAAACAGTCAATACTGATTCCACTTCTTGAATCCTATTATGTCCATCACTTTGTCTTTACTTGCAAGAGGCTGCATATGTTCACATACATAAACAACATTTAATTTGTTGAGGAAAAATCTAAGAACTGAGATATCTCATGTTCCTTACCTTGCAACATATATCACAAATTCTTAAGACAAAAGAAGCCCCATCACCCACACTAGATTCTAATTTAGTTACTAAAAATTAGAATTAGTCAATTTTACGGATTAACATTTTATTTGAACATATAATACATGGTAGTCACATGTTGGATGCCATTTTTAAAAGGCATCTTCATTTGTTAAGACAAATTCCTAAGGTGTTTCCTGTTTTTTAAGATCCTTTCTTATTAGTGGAAACTCTATATATTCCTAATACTTACTTCAAAAAGAAAAAAGATTCCCTATTTTCCATTCTTTTCATTTTAGGGGAAAAAAAATTATCTCCTCTTAAGTTTTAAAAACTAGCCATGTTTGTTTCCAGGGAGAAAGAAACATTTTACAATACTGTTTGTAAATAATCAATGCTCTGTCAACTTTATAGACACTAACATGTTCATAACTAGTTGAAAACTCCATCCATTCTATTGAGCTGACCAAAAAGTTTGTTCGGGTTTTCACATACCATCATACAGAAAAACTCAAATAAACTTTCTGGCCAACCCAATACGTATGGACAGAAATAACTGATTTTGACAAGCAATTAAAATTCTAAGTTTTTGTGTTCTTTTTTCCAAGGGTTTGTACACATTATAGGTACATCAAGCAGCTTTGGTCTCAAATTTTGGTCTTAAATACAAGTAGTTTAAAATCACCCTCCCCACTCAATGGAGAAACTCCACAATAAATTAAACAATATCCCTGATGAATGGAAAAGAGGGACAGAAAACTTAAATGTAACTGTCACAGCAGGGTAGTGTAAAAGAACCGTGAAGTTTTCCTGTAACCTGTGGATGGAGTGCAGATCCTCCTGAAGAAAATGAGGCGGGTAAAACCTGCGGAGAGGTGGCTCCTTGGGGGAAACAGAAGAAGAGTGGGGATTCTTGCAACACTGTCTGAGGCAGGCGGATAAAGGGTAATGAGACGTCAGAGCCAAAAGGAGCAGCTGCTCCCCCTGTAGGGGGAGGTGACTGAAATTCACCGGGGTCTGAAGAAGTGACCTGGGAGGAATCACTGGAGTACTCTGGGCTTCCTATGGGCCAGGTCTGTCCAGTGGGCTCCACCACAGAGACGGTCAACTCTGGGGCCTGGGGCGTCTGCTGCTCTTCAGTCACAGGCTGCAGGCGGCTGTGTAATCCTGCAGGTGGAGGAGGTGGTTCTTCCTGGTTCGAGTCCACAGCAACCTGCCGATTTCGGTAAATGCGCTGAGGTAAAACTCCTCCCTCTCCTTCTCCTGAAGAGGAGCTTGGAGTATGAATGTGAAACTCAAACACACAACTGCTTCTGCTTTCGTTGTTATGAGTTAGCACAGCAGGTGCAGAATGAGGAACAAAGACAGGGTGAAACTTCAAGTGTGTGGCATCTGTACTGACAGGCGCAGAAATGCTAGACAGGGGAGAGCCTGGGCTCAGTCCCGAATCTAATCTTACATTCTGGAGGTGTCCTACCAGGAGAGCCTGTCCCGATGGAAATTCAAAGACAGAACTGGAGGTGGGGGCCCCGTGCACTGGCTTCTGCTCAGGTGTCTGCTTCATAGGACTTGACAGGACTGGAGAGCTGTATGGAATACCCTCAAACTGTTCTGCCACCTGGGCCTGGTAATGTACCCCGGCTAGATACACTGCTTCTGGAGGGAGGAAGTAGTGAGCTTCTTCTGGAAGCACCAGTCCAGCTCTGTAGTCACTGTAAACTGGAGCTGGCTCAAACACAGGATGGGCCTGCACCTCACACAGCTCTCCAGCGACTCTACTGGCTGCAGGGCCCCACATGACTACAGTCTCTGGAGTCCAGTTAGGTGGGCTGCCACCAGGTGGAAGAAGACTCTGGCCGACAGTCCTCAGCAGGGGTTGGAACTGGTGAGTTTGGGCTTCCAAGAAGGAGGTGCTCTTACGCCGCTGGGCAATGGCCACCTTCGGTGGACAGGTGGGAGGTGGTGAAAAAGAAACTGGACGTTCATGAATAGTTGGGAAAAATATCTGTGATTCTGGGTATGTTGGGGTCCCCCCACGCGGATGCGCCATGGACTGAGGCTGTATCAACATGAATAAGACAAGTAATTCATACATTCATATGTGAAATTACATCAGACATGCACAACTGGGCAGCTCTGTGTAACCCTACAAAATGGTTACACCAAATTTATAATTAATAAAGAAATATAATGCTTTTGGAAATTATGTGCATAGTAAAAACCCATTAAATACATCCAGGGTCAATAAAACTATTCTGTGGGCATCTTTGCATTAGATAAGAGCTGCTTTTCCACAACACTCCCCTCCTCAAAGGAAATGAAGAATTTAACCTTCCGAGTGACTATTCTGCTTTTACCCACAAGTAACATGCTCACTTATGACTGTACCAAATCTTCCTACCCTGAAGCCTTATCATCTTCTGCTGTGTTAAGACGCTCCAGGGTTCATTTCTGATTAACTAATGTCATGTCTTCTAACTAGAAATCAGAAGAGATTTCTGATGGGTAGTAAAAGATACACAGCTTGGCTAGTGACCATCATTTGGTTTGGGAAACCAAACCATACACAGTTAGTTTTACTACATGAAACATGTTAGAGATGCCAAACCACTGAATGTCCACTTTTCTGATACCATTTTAAGGATCGACTAAATTTGCTGTTCAAATCAGGTGAAAAGGGTAATGTAAATAGCCAACTTGATTTGACAGCATTTTTTGGTCATAGAAGCAGTTCTAGGTTAAACAATCTAAAATTAGAATTCTACCCTGTCAAATGCAAATGGTACACACTGTAACAATTCACTTTCATGGGCCCTTTTTTTAAAGGGTAGATCAGTTTCACTCTTTCAATGGGAAAGATCCTATCAAAATTGCAAAACGGCTCCACTGTTACTTCTTTACAACAGTTAAAAGGAGGCTTCTATTTTGAATCAGAATGTTCTGGTTTACTGTTGTTTATTCAACAGCATCTTGAGGCCACAAGACACTATACAGTTAATCACTCTCCTAGGTACAAATCTGAAGGTTTTGGGATTCTTAGATCAGAATGCTAACCAAATCCTCTATCTGGAAAAGCAGCAGCAAAGTCCCACAGTGTTTGAAATAACCTTAAGAGATAAACACATCTACAGACATTAATGGGGCCAAGACAAACTGCAAGTATTTTACGTGCACCTAATGTATTGCATTACAGTCAAGGTCCGCTATTCAATCTAAAAAAAAAAAAAAAATTTGCCAAGAGGGAACATTATGTGGCCTTTAAGGTTGTTGATCCCTCATTTTAAATAGGTAACAAATTAAAAGCAACTTTCTTCAATTATTCCTCACTGACTACAGGAAAAAATGGACTCAAGCAGTATTATTGGTATCTCTCTAGAACAAAGTGAAAACATATTTGGATAATTTCTGATAAAGAGAAAGTTTGCTTTTGAAAAAGCCAACGAATTTAAAATTAAATAATACACATACTCTTTGCTAAGATATGAAAATGCAAGGAGTTGAATACACTGGTGGGGATAGGAGATTATAATAAAGGCTAAATTTTGCTGCTCACAGACTGCTATGTGCCAAGGGTGTTATAAGCATTCTCTCTGATTACCTCCTTGCTTTTCTCCCCATTACAGTCTTATAACAAACAAATTATAAGAAAAACCTATTTCCTAAAAGTGCACTATATTACTAAGTTCAGTCCTGTTCTTTAATCATTACTACAACTCCTGATGCCTGGATGTATTCATTGGTGATAAATGCTCATCTGTCAGGAAGTTGATGTTACATACAGCACTGACAAAGAGGGAAGGCAGGCTGGAGCGTCGGCACTTGCGCTGAGAGGCAGAGTACATAGGCAGGACCCTCTCCAATGCTTTAGAAAGCTTTTCGGCAAAAGTTTCCTCGGGGGCAGTCCAGAGGAGGGAAGGAGAAAGAGGTGCGGACAGCACTGGTGGTGGGGTGGAAGGAGCACTGGGAGAGATGCGGGACAAAGAGGGGACAGCAGGAAGATGGGGGACACAAACGGACATGCTACGGCCACGACGAGGCTAAACAGAAAACAAACACACACGTGAAAAACACAGCACTCTGAAAACAAAACAAAAAGTACAATGGTAACAGGGCATAGCTGACATAAAGAAATGTTCCATCCTCCCCCCATTCCACGAAGTCATTTTCTGAGGAGACAGAACTCCACAAAGCACACTTGGCAGACCAAGATATTCTCTCTACACTGTTGGCCAAGTGCAGGTTTTAAAAAATTAACCACCAAAATAATGATTAAGTACCTTCCTAAACATTCTGAAATAACATTAATTGTTATGAGTGTATGAATAAGAATGACCGACTGAGGCAGCAAAGCAGACTGGGAAAACGATGAATACTGGCTTGTAGTCTCTGCAAACTTGTTAATAAATTCTATCAGTTTAATGCACATTACAAGATACAGAAGATCTTAAGACTGAATTGCTCTGCTGGAGCTCTGGGAACCTCAGACATACAGGATTTCTCAGTCCTATTTTAGAAGGCAGTAAACAAAAAATTGTTGGCTGATAGAATAGTTTATCACATTTGCCTATCTTTGTCTATAAAGCTAAAAGTCATATTCCAGAAAAAGCATTAGTTTTCTAGACATAATTCATAGTACACACAGGAAATATTCTGTACTTTTACTAAAGTAGTCAATGGAAAAATATCTAAACTGTGAATCTCTAAAGCATAATGTTAAATTTTTTTCAGCCACAACAAAGTTGACTTTGGTTTAAAAGTTTAAAGCACCTTAATATAAAGGTTTCAATATAGCCACAAAGCAGCAAATCTAAAGCTCTAAGGCTGTCCTGAGCATGTCTGTTGTTTCCTTTCAGAAACTGTGAACTGTGTAATTAATTACATTTTTTCCCCACTCTTGCTTCTCTTGTATTTTTAAATTTTACTTGTAATTGATATGCTATTGCAAGCCATGGTAAATACTTTCTGGAATTAGAAAGGACTGATTATAAAAGCTTTGAAAAATCCTCAATATTTAGTAATTCTTCATGATACTTCCATAGAATATTATCATTAAAAGGCAAAAATGTCTGCCTTTTTTCATTTCATTTAATTAATAGTACGCTTTTGGAACATTAATAAATATAGCTATATTTGTGGCTCAAATATTTAGCATCTTCATAAATGGTCAGTCCTTTTCCATTTCTAAAATAGAGACCCAAAGTTCATATCCTGTGATGTGGAAAGCCAAGAGATTAAAAAGTTTTTAAAAAAATCTATAGTTATGATGATCCGGAAGAAATCAACAAGAGTAGAAACTGATAAGAAATGCTGACAAATAATATTTGTTACATCACAGAAATACACCTGTACAGTCTGTATAAAGCTCTTCTACCCTACCTACTTATTTTAAAGGTCAGAGAAGTAAATTGCTATTACACTGGAAGCTTTCTTTCTGTAACTGTGGCCATTCATCTTAATATGCAGCCAATGCAGAACTAACTAATGGACTCTAAAACAAGCAAACATCTTTTATTTCAAGCTGTAGGATAAGAGACCAGAACAAGCAGAAGTATTTTCTTACCAGAGAAAGAGTTTCATTCAATGAAGAACAAGAGTTCCACAAATTCAAAGTTTCTGAGACAGAGGGGCAAGCTATCTGCCTAAAGATCTCACTAAACAAGAGCACTGTAGTGACCAGTTATTCTCAATTCGATCCTGAGGCAGAAGATGCATCTTGTTCACTTCTGAAGACTTCATGGAAAGTTGACCAAAGAAATAGGGTATTATCTACTGGTCTATTTGAACATTCTCTGTATGAGAAGCAAGAGTGGCTAATGTAAAACATGGGTAATAATGTGTGTGTGTATGTGTATATATGCATAGGTACAAATGTACAATATATACATTAAGATATAATTGCTACAAATTGAATCTGAAAATAAATCAGTCATAAAACAGATACCAAAATAAAGGGAAGAAGCAAATGAACATATACTGGGGAAAGAACTTGTGTCCAACACAGACTTTAAGGCAAGAACACGCATAGCAACTGATGATTAAACACAAGCGCTAAATTAAATGGTCATTCCTTTTCTCTGGTGTACTCACATGCAGCATTCTATAATGGTTTGAAGGTCTTACCTGTGTTTTATACAATAAGATGTCTTACAGAAAATGTTTAGTAATTCTTTCAAGTAACTTCTGAAAAACTCTCCTTGCCCCCCACTCCCAAACCATTTGTATGTCTAACTTAGACTGCTTTGAACAGTTTGAACTTTAAAGTGCTGGAGAGCATCACCTTTAGTCAAAGGCTGAGGAGTCTGAATCCTGTAACAGTGTCTGCACGGAGTAACGCGTGTGCCCCACCTGCTGAACCGCCCTGATGGCTCTATATGAACCACCTGCCTCCTCTGGAGAGGCACCGCTGTACGCGTCACTCTGGACTCGTGCTGGCACTCAGTCAGGGGCAGAGTGTGCCCTGAGCATGTGACAGGCGTGCGCGCTCTTGCACAGTTACTCACCAAACTTGAGGGTGGATATACTGCATGGGGCTGAGCCTGCGCTTGGACAACAGATGCTGTGTGCCCTGGGAGGGCGCCAGTGGAAGGTGCCTGCTCATGCTGGGACCCGTACGAAACTGTCTGTTGGCTGCTCACTCGAGATTCCGTGAAGACAGAAGACCCTTGACCACTGTCAACTGTCCCGTCAGCTGAAGGAGAAGTTGCCAAAATACAAGACAGAGAGACAAATCATGAAAAGGAGATTCATATTTTCCCATCACAAACCCCTGATTTTAGAGTTAATTGGTCTTATCTTTGCACAGACCTGAACTAAATAAAGAATGACTAGTTTTACTAAGTAGATTTCTATGTTTAACTGACGAATCCATATAGAAAAGTTTCATCTTAAAAAAAAAATCCCCTGGCCATCACAGAATTTACCACCCAATGAACAAGGGGGAATAAAACAAAAAGTTGTTAATAGGCCTGAAGTTTGACACAGCTTCCAAAGTCTTAACCATGGAGACCAGTGGGCTCTAAGTATTAAGATGGCTCAATTAGTAACTAGTGGCCTCATTAATTTCTAGTTTATATGTTATTCAGCTTTGCTAAAAGAGCTGAACCAGATTAACAGGTTCAATATTAAGTAGCTAAGATAAACTTGTCACATTTCACTATTAATTTAAGAAACTGTAAAAGGTAGGAATCGACAAATAGAACATCCAAGATGCTGGAACCTGCAGAATTTCTCACATCCTAATCAGATTTCCTCACTGTCCCATTCTTCTATGCTATTAGCTGTGAACATAAGAACCAAAAGGAAAAAGAGACAGCAAACATTTCAAACCTCTTATTTATATGTAAGATTCACAATTCAAAACCAAGAGGCCAGTGCAAAACGATGACCAGGAAGACAGAGCGTCAGCTAAGAGCGTGCCTAGCAACCTCGCTGGGCCCCCGATACTCACATATCACAGACACACCAGGCTGCTGGTACTGCAGCTGCTGGTGCTGGTCGGCCTCAGGCTCTTCTGGCTCTACCTGCGTGGAGACGGACGCAGACGCAGCAGAGGCAGCGGGTCCGCCAGTGCTGGTGGCAGGCGGCTGCTGGACTCCGGCCTGGGAGGTGCTGGGCTGCTGCTCCACCTGCTGCTTGAGGCTGCTCTCCTCCTGCTTTCTTTTTTCTTGCTCCTCCCGCACTAGTTGACGCTGTTCTCGTTTTCTCTTAATTAACGATACTCTATCTTTGATGGCTTTTGCCATGGTCTTGTGGTCACCTTCACAGACATACCCAGAATCTACCTACAGGATGAAAGCGTACATCAGGAAGCAGCAGGATAGCAAAAGAAAACAAACCAAACACAAACAACAGTCTTTGGGGAAAGAAAAACAGAGAAGGAGAGGAAGAAAGAACTGTCCGAGGACTGACCTTAACCAAACAGTGAAACTACTGGTCTGCACTATGCACTTGCCCACCATTTTTGCAGATACTCATGGGGTGGATGCTATTATCTTTATACAAACTCATCAAGTACATGTACCTTCACTAATTATAACAAATCAACAGTGAACCTAAGCATCCAAGTGGTAAAACCAAAAGGCTTATTTTATTATACTCAATTTCCCACTCACATGTAACCATCAATATGAACCTGTGTTGCTTTTACTTCTTTTCACTAGAAAGAAAGTAATGTAGCCCACCAGGCTCCTCCATCCATGGAATTTTCTAGGCAAGAGTACTGGAGTGGGTTGCCATTTCCTTCTCCAGGGGATCTTCCTGATACAGGGATTGAACCCGGGTCTCCCGCACTGTAGGCCGACGCTTTACTGTCTTTTCACTAGACAACCACTTAACCAAACAAAACAACTGTGGTAAATATATGAAGGTTAAAAATAAAAACTCAAATAATATAAAAACCTGACAGTTAAAAATAAGTACCTCTCTCATGCTGAACCCTTCTCAAATGTAAATACTGAATGGCTCTGACACATTTGGGCAGAGACTGTCTCCATCTCTGCGCAGTAAATGGCTATTAAGGCACCATGAAAAGCCTAAGCTTGGCCAAGTGTTTCCTTGAAAACGACTGGCCAAAAGCTGCCTACTAACTATCGATCCTGAAAATTTCCTTTAAAGTAAAAAACTATGTGTGAACTGACTATTGGGTTTATTATCCAGATGACTGACCAAAGGCTAATGTATCAGTATGTAGAAACAATTTTTCATTCTAACTAAATAGGTTACACTAATTAGAAGTCAGTCAACCTTACAGACTTTGAAAATGACTTCAAAATGTCCTCCAGTTCATTCCCTCTGTATATCTGCCTGCCTGCCTGCCTGTCCATCCATCCATCTATCACTATACATATCTATGCATATACATGTCTTCTAAAATAAGAATAAATCTTGGGACCATTAATGGAATTTTGTATCAACAGAATATGTCATACACACTGCTTCATAAACTGCTTTTCTGCTCAACAGTATCAACGTATATCAACAGTATCAACGTACATAAATCAACATAAAATTTAAATGGCTTGATCGGTGCTAATTTACCATTTCTTGAGCAACATCTTCTGGCACATCTTTCTCCAAGTCAAAGGAAAACTCGATAGCTTCGTTGTCTTTGTATTTCCCCTTTAGTTTCTTAATATCTTCAATACGTAGCCATAATTTAATGGCTATCTTTTCTCCATCATCTTCTTCTGCTAATTCTACCCGTACCCCTGTTTCCTCCTGGAAGAAGGCATGGTTCAAAAGGTCTTTGATAGAGTATCTTCAAAAGAGAAGGGAAAGAAACAAAAAACAAAATGCCATTAGATTTAAAAGATACTTCTCAAGTATGTTATGTTTAGAATAATGAAAAAGGACTGCAAAAAGAACAGGAATTTTCTAATTCATCTCTACACTGCTTCATTTAAGCAGTGATTATAGTTTTATTCAAGTTATGGAACATCAAAACAATCTCATTTATGAATAACGGCTGAAAGTGATACTTTTTATTACTGGAGTATAATTGCTTTAAAACGTTGTGTTAGTTTCTGCTGTACAACAAAGTGAATCAGCTATATGTACACGTACAGCCCCTTCCCTCTCGAGCCTCCCGCCCCACCAGGCCATCACAGAGAACCCAGCCGAATTCCCTGTGCCATACAGCAGCTTCCTCTAGGTACCTATTTCACACATGCTAGAGTATATATGTCAGTGCTACTCTCCCTGGAAGTGATACTTTTAAATGTGTTTATATAGTGCTTATATTAATAGTTAACCAAATTCTTGTATGTATGATCTCATCTGATTTCTGGTGTCCAATGAGATACCATTTCCTGATCAGCAGGAAATGGATGGATCCTCAGGGACTGATCATCTTGCTCAATTATAAAAGTCATAAATCATGGAATCAAAACTCGAAAACCTTTTTATTTCTATAGTACATTACCTTCTAATATAGCAATTTTTCTTTATACAATAAATCCTCTCAAGTCTTGGTTCAGCACCTAGTGTACTAGGCAAGCAGAAGTCTGATTATGGAACAGTTTTCTCTAGATAAATGGTCTCAAAATACCAGTAATCTAGTAAACTGTTCCATCAAGACAAGAAACAAGAGTACCACATTCTATGACTGGAGACAAATATTCCTTTATTTATAGTTTTTTTAAAAAATGTTCTTAAAGAGATTAAGGCATCTCTTTTTCATCAGTGTATATAAAAACACAAACCCAAACTAAATTTCTACTAAAAAGCTTTAAAGATCAAGATCTTAAGCTCTTCCAAATAACAAAGTTATGAAAATAATATGAGACTGGAGAAGAGAAGATATGGAATTCTTTAATTTGGCTAAAATACCTGACCACTCATATTCTTCAAGAGGTAGATTATGTTCAATTTACACTTTGTACTAGGTGGGTCTACTTTTTCTTCTGTGGATGGTGACGGGGGATGGTGAAGGTAGATTATTTTTCAAAAACAGACACTGGACCTTTGCCATGCCTAACGGGTGATGAATCAGCTATATGGCAGATCAGATACTTGCCACTCCTCTGAGAAAAGCCCTCTGTTAGCATAATGACTAAGCCAGATCTCCTCCCAAGCTCTGGGTGAAGTTGTCTCTTCTTACTCAAAGGAATTTTGACATTTTGCTCTTCTTCAATTCTGGCATAGCAACAGTAAATCAATACCTGCATAGCTGAGTTGATTTTAAAGAGCCAAAAATTTTACTTCATCTTTAGACTTCAACTGGTATAAAGCTAAGGAAGAGATCTGCTGTGTCAGGATAGAACCTAGTGAGTTTTGCAGATCAGGTAGATGGTATAAGTAGCCCTTACTGAATGCAGCAGCTACATTTAAGGTTGTTCTGGATTATTCAAAGTCTACCAAACCACACTTTTACAATATTTCAGTATACTAAATCTGAATACTACCTCCAGTGGACAGAACTTTACTTTCAAAGATATTAAGTGACATAAACAGAGAAACTAAGCACAAGTAAAGTACTACATACATCTTAGGTTGAGGGTTCTATTCAGAGCATATTATACCTGAAGTTTTTGTTTAAGCAATATCCAGGTCAAAAGAGGCAACTTACCTTTCATCTTTGTTTTGCCGTATGCATCCTTCAATAATTTCCTTCACTTCAGGAATTGCTACTTTGTCAAAACTGGCTGGCTTCACTCCCTGAAAATCATAAAAATAGCAACAGGAACACATTAACGAAGGCAGGGACTTTGAACTTGAATTTGAACTTGCCTCCTAAGGTTCTACTCGACTGCCTTCTCACCATCCTGGTTTTTTCCTGGTTTGCCTGCAGGATCTAGTTCATGCAGGGTCAGAGCTGGGTAGTAGCTATTTAGCCCCTACAAGGTAACAATAGGGAACAGTTAAGACAGAGGAGTCACTTACTTCCATGGCCACCACACTGCTAGTGACAAAAGTAGGCTATCGTTACCATCTTTCGCTGTGTTTCAGGTAATGGAAATTTTGGCTAAACAAAGCCCAAAGTTCTAATTGGTTAGAAGATCTTCTGTTCAACCTTGTTCCCTAACACATTAATCAACGTAACATGCAACTCTTTTGAACAGAGGACCCATGTGTGGGCATGAATTCACATGCTTAGTCTGGCAGGTATTCTATCAATATAGTACTCCTTAACAAGCTCAGTAAGAAGTGAAGAATTTAGACTGGTTTGGCATGGTAACTGAAGAGCAAATTGTCTTGTACATACGAAAACATAAAATGACAAACAAACTTTCCAATTAATTTCAGAAAAAAATTTAACATCACTATTATATAAAACAGCACCATTGTAATATTTTAGAGTTTTCGCAAAAGGTAAATTCTTTGCAAATGAAAATTTCAGCGGTATGTAGAAAATGTATATAAGATAGAAGAATAACAACCCACTCCTGTCTGAGAGATGGTGTGAAGAAGAACATCTCATTATCTATTCCTGCCTCTTCTAAGTCACACAGACTGAGCTGAAGTAACGACACGATATACTTTCCAAGAGGCAAGGTAAGTCTATGACCACCTAACACACAGCAAGGAGGAGACAGGAGACAGGGACTAGAAATAATCACCCAATGTCTCGGTGACAATATATATTATTTGAATTTTTCCTCAATCTTCTTATTTTTCAAGTCTAGCTAAGTCTTCTCAACCAGTCCTTGTCATCACATAATCATTCTAATAAAAACAAAACAATGTCACTGAAGGAAAAGCCTGCTTTAATTGAGCAAGCTGGTATGGTATGGCATGGTATTTTAAATTAAAGCTAAAGAAAACAGGAACTGTTTTTTGCTTTTTTAAAAAAAGGATGATGCTCACTAAAAGTTCTCTGGTAGCAGAAACACTGGAGATTTTTATATTTGCTTTTAATTTTTACAATAAACATGTAAAAGTATAAAAGCAAACTTTTAAGATGCCATTTACAAATATAATGGGAAGAACAGTCTAAAATACTTGAAAAAAATAAAATAAGATACTGTATAAGTTCCTAGAACATTCACTATTGGCAGAAAACTATCTGAAAGATTGTTCTTTGGTAAAATTAGACACTAATACACAGCTGGCCTTTCATGTAAGGACACTTCAAATGTACAGGAAAGAAGTTAAAGAGGCTACAGAATAGGATTAGAAAACATGTTCCCACGTCCATAAACACACACATTTTAGAGCAATGAGTCTGACCTTCTGACAACTCTACATATTGAGTTAATAAATCACACATATACTGACAATAAAGACTTCTCCATTTCAATTTAGCACAGGAATACTGGAAAGATGAAAGGATGGAGCATAAGACTTGAATTCAGTGTGACCTGGACAAGCAGAAGCAGCTCTGAGCTTCATTTCCCTGTCTAGCAAAGGGGGATAATACCTGTTTAACTATATTCATGGGAACTAGACTCATATGTGACTGTCCAGGTTGAAAGCTCTTTGAATTATTAAGTTTGCTGACCTAGGGCACCTTTGACTTCAAAAGTAATCACCAATGGTAATTAAGGCTTAGAGTTAAAAAGAAAGCATAGAATTCTCTTTGAAAAATAATCACCAAGATCCACAGTGAACATGCTTTCAGCTTTGCTTATCCTTAAAAACAATCCTCTTGTTAATCTGACCTATGCAGACAGACACAGTCACAAACAGGAATTTCTATTTACAGGTAGAAAAGCTAGTTGAATAATCAAGATACCAGATCACAGTTGCAAAACCAGCAACTATGCAGCATGTAACACACTGACTCTACTAGGGTAAGCTGCTTTCTCAACGCATAGCCAAGATTCAAGCACAGAAAACTCTGCACCACTGCTGTACAACTGAAACCACCACTGCCATGTTCAGCTCCTACTGCTGCCTTAAAGGACACTGCAGGCACAGAGACAGCCGGTACAACAGAGACAGTCCAGCAGCTGGCATTCAAACATTACCCACTGAGACAATGAAAAAGACAAGAAATTTCACCAAGCATCAAGAAGCCAGGATTATCCAAATATCTTATCAAAATATCAAACAGAGGTATTCTGAATCATTTGGGAAGAAGCAAGGATATACAGGAATTGTATATTAAAAGTGACCAAAAAAAAAAAGTAAAAATAAGCATGAAACTTCAATGACCTGGAATGTGACCTACTGAAGTCATCTGGGGCACCTGATGGAAAGCCACTTAAAATCAACAAGCACATGTTTCAATACATAAGACGTATCATACTCAGAAGCTTCTTGTTCTAACAGGACTGTTTTTTTAATAATTGATAAATTTTTAAATTTAAAAGTTGATTTAAGATTACTCTAAAACATCATTTAAGCACCAGACAGAACAATGATAAGAAAATGTTTTCATGATGGTATTTCATCTCTTTTCCTTGAATTTGTTTATTTCAAAAAAGATGATTAAGAGTCTAAAAATCCTTCAAATGACCCCTCTTTTCTATACTCTCTGATTTAGCCCCACACAGTCTTTTTTCACTCCTGTTTTAAACAGCAGAAGCAAAGTTTTGCTCATCTATTCTGAACGAGGTTCAAGAACACAGAACATAAGAGTACTAAGGAAGATAAATTGGGCTAATGTTTTTTTTTTTTTTTTTGGGCTAATGTTTTACACATAAGAAAACCTAAGTTAAAGACTGGTGCCTTGTCCCTTCACCCTTCCAGAGCTAGCAACCTGCCAACTCCAGAAACACTCTTCCTCACTGCTGTGAATCACAAGACCTCTCTTCAGGGAGAAGTGCCGTAAAATGTTTCTTTGACATGTAACAGCAGCTTGTTATTCTGCATTACACAAAAGTACTTCTTCAACAGCTAATGTATATCCATTTAAGACACCTTTGGGATTAAAATTATATATTCTCATAAACGAAACAAAAAAGGTGACTTTTATGCAATCTTAAATGGAGAACAAAAAGAAAAAAAACAATAGTTGTGATTCTCCAAGGGTACATCAGAGTTGATACTTAAAAAAAAAACTGACATAAATCTTTATAAAATATGTTGCTTTATTTAAACTAAGAAAAACTCCAAACATATATGCATCTCACAGACTGAATTTTCTGTCAATTCTATATACTCACAGTTTGCAGCTAATCTGCTGGAAAAATAAAAGTGAGTCATAATAAAAAATAAAAGTGAGTCATAATATAGTATTCTCCGGTTCAATCTTCTAGCTCTTAAAAACTGTCAGCACTTGCTTCTTAAAAACTTAAGCTGCAGTGTGTGTCAGGGTAACATTTTTCTCTTCCTAAGAGTAAAAATTTTCCTAACCACTCAGAATTGAGAAAAGTCTCCTTCCTTCTCATAGAAAATGCTGTGTAAGTTAACTAAACTGCAGAACTATTTTGAAAAGCATTCTGAACTAACAACCCCAATACTTTAACTGAAACCTTCCATACATAAATATCACAACAACACTTTTGGTATATATTAGAAATTCTTACCCACCTCATTTACACAATCCTTTTGAGAGCAGCAGCAGCAATGAGAATTTACGAAGACAAACACTGAGCAAAAATCTCTCTTTGTAAAATCCATCAGAAAAGGCAAAACAGACTTGTGAGAGGAAAATGGAGGGGGGAGGGGATCATATAAGATGTAAGTTAACAGGATAACTTAGCCCACAGCATAAGCAAGGCAGACATCAAAATCAGGCTGAAGTTGAATTTCCTGTTTAACACTAGCCATGCTTCCACGACTCTCAAACATGGGTTTGCTCTGCTCAGCCAGCAATCTCCTTATTACTTACTGATCAGCCCTTTAAACACAACTACATGCTGAATAGCAGGCAAACTTATTCTGCTACTCCTCCTCCTGCCTCTCCTCCAACAGCAGCAGGTCCCTAGACAAACAAGATTCTTCACTTGCTCAAAGCTCCACCCCTGCCATGTCCACAGGTTCTGCCTCCTTGACACCAATACCTACACTAGAAATTTGTTTATCTAAACACCCCTCCTTCCCCTTACTCACGTTGAAACTAAGCTTCAAAAGAAAATGGGGAATGAATTCAGTGACCAAAATGTAAACTCAGAATATACAGCCTAAAGAACACTGGACAAGAAAACCCCAATACTGGGGTTGGGCTCCCAGTACATAAAGTTCAGCCTATAGATACCGAGTCTGTGTGACTGGAGCCATATTCTTTAAACTCACTTGAAAAGTGAGTGTAACAGTTCCTGTTTACCTAATTTAGAAAGTGGTGACATTAAGGTAAATTGTCTTACCACGGTCTCATGGTACATTAAAAAAATTTAAACAGCTATGCATTAGTACACAGAAGTGGTAAGAATTTCTTCTTCTCCTTTTCCTTCCCTAAAAGCCTTAACATATAGATCTATCTAAAGACATCTCCATTTGCCAGGAAGAGCTCTTGGACCCAATGACTACTGCTTTAATCCTGGTGATTAAGGAAAGGTTTTTCCTCATGGAATTTAACAAAGATGATAGAAAAAGTACTGCTCATGGCAGTGCTAGGTTGGGTAACAGGGGTAACATAACAAAGTGCCGTCCCTTGTAATGTGGTAAGCCTGAATCCCCACAAGACAGTGGATACTAAGGCTTCAATCACTCAAGAACAGTAACATAACAGCTTAGAAGTTATTTGATAGAAATATCTCTATTCTATAGGCTGGAAATGACTTAATTCTAACAATTTTCCTGCTCAACATAACTCATCACTATCAAGCACA